TGTTACTGCTTGAGTGAATACTTAAACCATTCTAATTATGCTACTAGCTGATAAACGGGAAACATAGGTTGGACACCTGGTTATAGTGAAGAGTTATACTGATGGTCAAAGGAGAATCATTATTGCTACCTAAATTCGGTTCTCAAAAACTTTCGAGACAGCCATCATTCATTCGGTAAATGTCACTTTCCTCGTAGACACAAAGCCCAAAACAACGTACATTATACCGACATTATTTATTCATGAGATGATCGTACACAAGTATTCTGTCCTGATTATTATGTATCATGTTTGTCTTTGGCGCTCACGAAATTTGTTGTCCCACACAAATGGATGGAAGCGAATAAACCGTATAAACCAATCGTAATTAACATTTAAAAAATCTAATCTGGTTGCATCAGCTATATTCCGTAATAGCAGAAGCTTGTAGCAGTTCATCCAAGCCAATAATGGTGACATATTTGTTGTAAGTAAAACAACTCAATCATGTCCAGTATCTATCTTAAGAATAAAAGAAAAAGAATATTATTTAGATTTTATGCATTTATCAATGTTCTGTTAAACTGTCATGTTATCTTTTTTGAGCTTAATATTTATTTATAATCTATGCGAATTGTAATTTACTGCAAAAATTGCGTAATAGTTCCAAATACAATCTCTTGTTCCGTCTATATCGTAATGAAAATTCTGTTGATATTTCGCGCTTAACATTGTCAATTCTTTTTCGTTTAATTGGCTAGAATACTATCAGCAACAGCGTTCTATGGTAGAGAACAAACCAGCTTCCAGCTGGAGAGAAAATTAGGAAAAGACGTTGGAAGTGGATCGGACATACATTAATGAAATCACTAAACTGCATCATGAGGCAAGCTCTAACTTGCAATTCGAAAGGGAAGAGGAAAAGAGGAAGACCAAAGAACACATTTCGCCGAGAAATAGAAGCAGATATGAAAAGGATGAACGTTAACTGGAAAGGATTGCCCAGTACATGGTTGGATGTAGAAAACTGGTGTGAGGCCTATGCTCCTCCACGAGGGGTAACAGGCATAAGTAAGTAAATGTATTTCAAAAATTATTAAATTTCATAAACTATATACTGGTATGCTAGATCTGACTTTGAGATTAAAGTAGTATATCCATAAGTTGATCTGTCTGAAAATACAGTATACATCAATCTTGATTATAATCATATATTGGTATGGGTTCAATTGTACAGCGATAAATGGCAAAAGTATCTACTTATTGACTTGGATGTGCTGTGAGATTTGGAATATTCACTACAGTGAAATGATTCAAAAGTGTCAAAATTAAGAGTATGTTGTTTTGTATATCCCGTCCTTACTGTAATGTTTATCAGCTTTATATGGAATAGGATATCCAGAACGACATGTTTTCGTGCATGGTGGTGCTGTGTAGGTAATATAACCACACTTTGGGTATGAGTTAGATGATCTATGATCACATTTCGGAAAAGGATATGGTAGACAACCTGTTGGATCTCCTGTAACTAGTCCCTTTTTCAACCAATAGTCCCAGGCGAATTCAGAAAACCCAATTTAGCAACCAAGTTTATTTTTCGAACAAGAAATTAGCTCAATGGCACTCAATTGTACTTTTATTGTTCCATTTGTCTGAATGCATGTACGATCGCTGATTGAGGCAGCTGAAGCTACAGCCTAATAAATTCATAAAATTTCAAACATAAGTGGTCATCAGATATTCAACATTGCGGTTGATTATTAAACAATGAACTAAATGTATTGCCAGTCGGTATAAAAAATTGTAAGGAGCTAGCTGTCTATTCTGTTACTTCATTTCTTAATCCACAATATTCGTAAATTCATTGCCAAAACAAGCATAAAATGGTGTTTTGGTTGTGGTAATAATCTCAAGTATTTCAGTAGATGTTTTCTTTATGATTAAAATTAAAAATTACTTCAAGACTTGTGGTCAGTTATATTAAGAGTATTCAATTCAAGAGAAAGATCAGTTTATTAAATAAAGCCAATGTGAATGGTCCATTTATTAGCTTTTCTTTTTAGCTCCTACCCATGTGACTTGCGATAAGTATTGTTACAAAAAGCCACCACATATTATCTATTTGGATACCAGATTATCTGTATAATAACTAATTAGTTTGAATTCAGATAAGACCAATCAATTAGTCTCATACTTAAAAGGGGTCGCTTTTTTACCATCTGAGAATAAATTGGATTTTCCTGAACTGATTCGCTTTTTTTCAATTACTGTCCTATCTTTCAATTCTGCAAGTTCCAAATATATTTAGTCGTTTTACATTCCAGATATAAATCCAAGGTTGCTTTTTTTCCACGAAAAACAGTAACCTATCTTTCCACTTTCTGTAAAAGATATAACTAGAAACGTGAAATAAAACATAGTACATTTAAATTTAAAAAAAACATCTTCAGCTCTACACAAGTTATTAGGACCAGTTACAAATTATTAGTTGAAGCAATGATGAGTAAGGATAGAAAATCTAAACACGATTTTACTGTTCTTTGTGATACTCTAATGCTTTAAAATATCGATCAATATTCGAAATATTGTTGAATAAGTATCAATTTTTACAGTCACTGTCATTAATTGCTAATTTCTTTGGTGTAAGGATAACGCTGAGTAGATTTCTTACTAACCGGTATTTCTTCATAATCTTTGATGTTTTATGATTGGTTGCTATCACATCTGGTTTGCCATTTTCCTTATTTCTTAAGGTCATATTTCGCAGCAAAATATACAGAGTTGTTCTATTTCAATCTGATCTTAATTGAATATCAAATTTTTTCTACACTCTTGTATTCGTATTCTGTTCCATCGTTTGGAGGATTATATAATAGTTCCTGTATAATAGAGCTCACAATAAATCTCGTTCATATTAGAATAATCTCAATTGTTTGCAAGTGAAAATTGCCATATGTTCAACAGAACCTAATCTCAAAATACAGTAATAAGACAGAAAGTTCCACTATTTTGGAATGAAGCATAGTTTCGATCCTAAAAACAACGAATTAAAAGTGATAATGAAAAACTTTGAATAATGTTCATGTTTTCTTCGGATCTATCATATATAAATATAAGACGAATGAATGACATTGACCTTTAATTTTTGTTATAATGAAAACACTATCATTGATTACTATAACAATAATATATATTGTGCAAAAAAAAGTTTATCGAAACGTACCCAACCGGAATCACATTTTGACTGATCATGAATAATATTGATACTTGGACAATCTTTCCATTGTTCACGTGAATCAAAATAATCAGGTAATTGAATATTTTCATCTTTATGTGAAATGATGGAAAGAATCCCCGTTCTAAAATGTCGAATACCATAATATCCAAATGTATTGTATACATCAGATATTGATTTAAATCGTTTCTGTTTTGATACTTTCCATCCAGCAGACGGCTAAACAGAAGATAATTTAATGATTGTATTTAAAATAAATGACTACTTCGAACGATTTTCTTATTATTATATTACTCGATATTTGCAAATAGGTGCTTATTAAATTTACATTTACTGAACTCTTATCATATTTCTGTAATGAATTTATGCAGCACACTATTTCCATCTTTTTTTAATGGATGTATTGAACTCATCAAACATTTAAACAAAATATCATTTTATATAGTTGAGATCATAAGTCAATTGAAGCTAGACCACCAAGGAAAACCTGGAAGCACTGGACGGCCATTTCGTCCAATTGTGGGATTCCTCGGCAGTGCACATCCACGATCCCGTTTCGCGAAATTTGAACCCAGGACCTATCAGTTTCGTGCGCAAGCACTTAACCGATATCAATTAATGATCAGGAAATACTAAGGATGTTTATCAATCAACCTGATTTAAAATATGATATATCTTATTGATGTGATTACTGAAGCCTGACCTCGATACTTTGACTGAAAAGTTTCAAATCCTTTAATTAATTGATAAACTTATTATTATTGTTCTGTGGAAAGAGACACCTAAATACACACTTAAAAAAACATGTACAGCAAGGTCAAAGTTATTTTATGTCTGAGCGATTGCTAAATGAAAATAAGTAAAGAAATAGCAGACAGTCATCTAGTTTATACATGGAATATGAAATGGAACTGTACATATGGTGTCAGTTCAACACACTAACAATTAATGAATTAATGAATGTACCTAAAAATAGAAAACTGCTAAATTCAATCGATATATATAAGTATATATGCATAAGCTTGTATTTTTCTTAAGGAATATCAAATTACATGTTTTTCATGGTTAACAGATAATGCGGAAAATAATTATGAGATGGTGAAGAAGATTTGTAGCTGGATCAAGTTATCCAGCTCAGAGACCAAAAATTCATCAAAAAGGAAAATAATTACTGAGCAACAATAAAACTATAGTGAAACTATAAAATTTTTAGATCAAAAGTAATTTTTCTTCTCGATCTCTTAAACACCATTGAATTTATATTCATATTCAGACATCGACAATTATAGATTATGCAATTATAATGTATGCTTTGAATCAATCTGATAAATTAAATATATTAAGAAAAACTTACATAAACCTAATACCCCATCCACTGAAAGTTACCTATTAAATATTACTCTCATTGTTTTAGAAAAAAACAATTATTACTGAGTTAGAAATGTAGTAGTATATTTATAATAATTGAATTTCGCTAAATAATACATGATGAACTAAGTAATTTTGTAGTGAACAGAACACTGGTTGGGACAATCGAATGTATTTAAGCACAAATTATAGACTATCTCACTAAATTCTGATAACCATACAATGAACAGTTAATTTGCAAAATAACAACCAATTGTCTCAATCTTCACTGTTCCTTCTGTAAATATTAGTTCATCTTCTCTAATTTCATTGTTTTAATGCATTTTACTACCAATTGCGCTTCATTTCAGTTCTTTCCTCGTCGGCCTTCTGCCAAAATACATTCTATGTCTGACCATCGCCATATACTACTTATATGGATATAAGTAGACCACACCACAATTTGAAATGGAATATTACTATACTAATAACTATTGACTTACATAATTATTTATATATTGTATTAGTTCATCAGATAATATATTAAACTGCTTTAAATTATATCCATTCAAATAGATAAGAAAATAAATTGAAAGAATAAGTAAATTCATGTGCCTTTTGGTAAGTAAATTTGATAGTAGTATTCACAAGTTATCTGTTTTTTGTTGAAAAAAGAAATAGACCTATTTATTACTGAAGCTTATCATAATGATCTTTGGAATGGAATGAATGAATAGATAAAACTATGATAAAATATAACTGAATAAATTAAGTATAATTTTAAAATCAGAAATATTGTATATCATGTATCAACAAGTAAATCAATATAAAACAGATATAATAAAATGGATCATTCTTAACTATAAAGAGTTCAAGGATTAGATGAAACATACTAGGATAGAATCATGAATAGCATCATATATATATATATATATACTGGTACGAAGGGGTACCAAATATATTTGCACCACACAAATATCACTTGATTTCCGTGAGGGCTGTGATACTGCCCGTGTTGCCCAAACCAAAGCAGATGGTTTTATTAGGAGCCACACCCGGGCCTTTGACCTAAAGCTCTGATCCACAAGGCAGTGGAGCATCATGAGGAGATGCAGTCCCTATGGTAGCCGGTGACCGACGATTGATTCATACGCCATTTGTTCCTTCAGGGTACTGGAGCCCATGTGCACGATTGGTTCGGGATCAGGGTTTTCCAACTCCCCTAGGTGGACTCGCCGTGTCTACCGACATTCGCTTTTCGTCCTCTCAATTTCGTAAACAACAGTAATGCCACGAGAAGGTAGTGAGTAAGAGTTCTCTGGCAGAGGCTACATACGCGTGGTCATGTGAGAGCATTTGGAGAGGGAGAGTGGACTCTCCCCACTCTCGGCCGTACTAGGGAATTTGGGGGCATATATATATCATGACATAACAAACTACCTTTATAGTGCTAAAGGTAACTTTACAAATTTGTTTATTTCAGAATTTCACTGGTTAAGTTTAATGAAGCTACGTTGACGGATTGAAGATGGATTCTATATATCATGAATTAATCTAAAGCGAAAACAAAATTTTGTTAACTGATGTGATTTTTAAAAAGAATACTCATTCACTTTAATATCATTTACCTTGCTTAATCTATTTATTTCCCATTATGAAAGCTTTTTAAGCCTCATAGAGAGGAATTCCTTATGCACTTTAGTAATAATAAATAGATGATTATGAATACAGATTATTCACGTTATATTCAATCATGTTCTTAGTTATTATTTCTTCTGTAACTTTTATTCATGAAAAGAAATAAGTAGTTAAGCATTAGTCATTTATTCGTATTTTTCACTATCAGTGCTGTAATTTAACTGGAGCATAAACTTTCTGTTTCATATCCTCTTCAAAAGTATCAAATACTCTATGTAGACGTATGTGATGGCATTCAGAGTTTAGAAAATAATGAATCCAAAGTCTCTGAATCTCAAGACCCCATTTATGTGATATAAACACAAATACTAATGACAGGAGTTATTGTTTTGCTAACAACTGAATTTCCTGTTCTTGATAATGAATTAATCCTATAGGATTCTTGAGGTGGCGGCGGTAGACATTTCAATATTGAAATGATTATTCTTGGTTTGTTCTCAAAATTCCAACCATTCAAACTTACTGTGAACCTTTACATTTAGATGAGTATTATGTAAACTGTATTAACCAGCTTTCTTGTTCTGATCCATGAGTAGAGAACAGAGTTCTATATAAATACATCAAAGGATTACTATCTCGTTGGTCACCTAACATAAACAACTTAAATAATCATCTATCAAACGGGTTTTATACGAAACTGCTTTTGATAGTCGACAAATAGGCTAAGGCTTCGTTTATAGGGAAAGGTACCAACACGTAAAATAAGCAGCATATATTGCATAGAGGATGAACACTGAAAATACTTTTTATTACGAGTCATTAAGTCGCCATCAATCTATTTCAGCTTGAAACATTTGAAATGCTCAACTGTTTGTTTATTAGCTCATTCAAATTTTTACAGATACAGTGATCAATAATATGAAGTTTCCACCAATTTCGACAACATAAGTCCATTATGTTTGCCCTGAATGGTTAAAATTAAACCTATGCTACCTGGTTATAATGATGTATTTGTCGATAAAGTTCACTTTGACAACCGCTAATAAAGAAATGAAAATATCAGATGCAAATTTTGAAAATACTCCAAATCAGGTTTAGATTATAAGAATCATTCAAGAAGACCGACCCACAGTCCCATGTAACGCTCCCTGGGTAGTAGGGGATATTTCCGTGAGATAACGCGAGAGTTTAAATAGAGACCGTGCTGATCACCCATTCTAAAACAGATGGAGATAGGGCTAACCAACCACTCTGTATTATTCTGATTTATAGAAGAGAGAGGCTAACTACAAACAGAAAGCGTGATTGAAGTGCCAGAGAAAATAAATCCTCTTTTGGTGCCTTCCATCTGGAAGTGCCCATTAGGTCAAACAAAGGTGGGTATGAGCAAAGGACATAAACTCTACCGTGGACAGTGTGCAGTAGACACTGAAAATGCTTATGGTATGAGCTTGACATGGGCATATCGTCCATGACGACTTATGGCCGAATTGATTTGACTATTTGTTATTCATTTAGTGTTTTAGAGAAAACTGGGCTACGATCTACGATGATCTTATCTATACCTGAGTGTATACTATGAAAGGAATGAGTATCGACCTGTGGACTCCACATGTGCATGTAACGTATACTTACGAGTGAAAGCATCAATGGAGTGTTTAGGCCTCGGTTTGTGCATTATATGTATACATGTAAGGTACACTTATGATCATGCGCATCTATGTCTATGTGTACTGTAGGATGTATCTTTGATGCGTGCATCCTATATATGCATGTAACGCATAATTGCGGTAGTTCTACGTTTCATACTGGTGTATACATTATAACTCATAGCGCTTTTGAAATGTGCACAAGTTTCAGAAAGTGATAGAATAGTGTAGACTATAGTGTCGAAAATGTTAGCTGATGCAGATAAACGAAGATTAATAGAGCTTATCATGAAATCTAAATCATAGGAGGGACGAATACTATTCTACGTAGAGGAATGAGTCATAATATCAAAGTAACAGTATGAACGGATAAGAAATTCAGTTAGTTGCACAGATTCTCAATATTAGCAACAAAAAAGCCATTCGACTGGTAAGATAACTCAAACTACTTTCTATTATTCAGTAGTAATAATAATAAGTACTAATTAAATATGGAAACTACTTACTCTACCCCTTCCTTTCTTCTGGTGATCGGTTGGATTCTGAAGACCTTGACATGTGAAGGGATGCACGGAATACAATGGAGATCACAGAATCAATTAGACGATTTGGACTTCGCAGATGACCTGGTCCTCCTATCTCATACACACGAACAAATACAGACGAAGATAATAAATGAAGCAGCAATCTCTGCATCACGCACGGCCTTTTTGTGAGGGATTTTTGACGTGTTAGCTCCGTTCCTCAAAGGACCTTACCGCCGGAGACGAAAATCTGTGGGATAAAGCGAAGTGTGAATTTTTAGGGTTGACCTTTTCTAACCCCACCCCTCCTTGTGGGAAGGCAGCATCGCTGTCATGCTGGTTGTCTGAAGGAAACACCTTACTGCCGTCACACCTCTGTACAGTCGGCAGTACGACTTCGCCTTCGGACCTTGGGATTGCTGCTTTTAGTCTTACCGCTCTTCAACCAACCTGTCTGGCATGGTAGGACCTCGAAGAACGATCGTTCCAGCCAGCATAGCTCGATTGCTTCATCACAATAGGCAAGCCCAACCACCACGTCAAGGTAGCAGCAACGGTTCTACTGTGCAGAGCTGAAACTTGAAAAACTACTACAACCATCATAAAGAGGTACAAGTATTTATAAACAATTGTCTACACAAGATACTTAATGTCCGTTGGCCGTAGACCATCAGCAACAGCCTACTGTGGAAGAGGACAAACCAGCTTCCAAATGAAGAGGAAATTAGGAAAAGACATTGGAGGTCGACAGGGCATAGATTACGGAAATCATCAAACTGAATCACGGGGCAACCGATTACCTGGAATCCTGAAGAGCAACAGAAGAGACGAAGGTCAAATAACACTACGTACGGAATTGAAAGCAGATTTGCAAAGGACTGCCCAGAACAGAGTTAGGTGGAGACCGGTGGATGGCCTATACCCCTCAACGATGGGGGGACAGGCGTAAGTAAAAAGTTAAGCATACGTAAATTATCCAGGAGACTGAATAGGACAGGATACCCTATTTGAATGAGAAACCACGAAGTTTCTAATAATTATGGAGTTTATAAATTCTACGACGACCATGAGTAATTGTGTACAACTTGACCAGCTGAATAATTTCATGTTTGAGGATGATTTAGGTATGTTACATTTATCTCTAGCAGTCAAGATAGGGAAACTCTTGGAAAAAGGGGTCTTGATTGGCTCTAGTGAACGTTTATTATTAAGATCCTAATACTATTTTACTGGCTAAGTTTCGGATGAACAATAATACCCTTGGAATATGTTATCGTTTGGGTCCATCTTGGTTTGATTCATGTGCTTGTTTATAGACTCTTAAGGATACTCATTCTCACTACGTTACAAACAATACTTAACTTTTGTTAGTGTCGTTAAGATTAGTTAGTTCAGAACAAAGAAAAGCTTAGGTGTCAAACGAAGTTTAAGATACCACTATTTAGTCCACAATGACTTACACTAACGTACTACGTAAAAAACGAAAGTCACCGAATATCAACACAAACGATTCTTAGAAGATCCTGATAGTGGTTTACTTTTATTATTTTCTGGATTGCAATGGACGGACACATTGACCGCTTAAGTGTATCTGCAAACTCAGAGATAAATTTTATTTGCAAATTGACAAACCGATATCGATTAGAGGCATCGAGAATAACTAATAACTTGTATCACAATAGTGGACAATCTTTGCTCCAACTACTTGAACATCTAAATGTTGATTTTAATGCACAAACAAGGAAAAAGCCAAGTACTCAGAATAACACATCCAGGATGCATGAGTGTATACACTTATTCTTGATTACATGCTCAACGATCGAATAGTCATGTAGCACTGCTCCCAAGAAACGAAATCGTTTCTTTTAGAAACAAATGGTATAGGAAATGCCCAGCTCATACCACTGAAATCATCCTACATCCAAATATATATTTGAAAGTTGGGTACTTTTTCACTGAATTGTTATTTCGCATAATTTATCTAGTAGATGGAAGTAACTGATATTCTTATCTCAGCAGCTAGGTAGTTTGGTAATGATAAAAAATGTCAATACTTTTGGGTAAACTACTATTTTATAAATCTTGATAAGTACCTTTTATCAGATAAAATGTTCGGGAACAGCTTAAATACTGAATACAAGCTGAGATGGTCTGCAATTGTTTGATGAAAAAACGGTGGGACCCATTGATAGTTTAGTTGCTTATTGGTGGACCACTATTATAAATGATCACAAACACTTAGTACTCTATTTATTATTTCTGACACTACACCTATAATGTAGGGGTCCGAATGCCAAGGTTAGTTGGACAGAATCTAAACTTAACTACGTAATAAACTGAATCCGACATGTTGAAAGTGAAGTAGAAATATATTTACAAAATCTGTGGGAAAAACTCCAAAATTACGACACTAAAACAATATGAATAGTTAAATTAGTGAGAATGCTTCGGCGGGCAATAGTCCAGCTTCATGTACTTTTTGAAATGAGTGTAATGCAGAATCTAAATCAAACCGGCACTCAGTTAAACATTGTAAAGAATAAGCTTTATTCATTCCAGTTGCAGTGGACAGCTCTTCAACTAATTTTGAACAAACAGCGTCGTCTGGCATACCACCTGGTTTGAGAGTTGATGCTAGCGTAGACGGTGTTCTTGAAGTCATAAAATTTGACACAGCCTCTGTGATAATCAGTGAACACTCCTGAAAAATAATATATTAATATGAAGTTTATGGGTACGTTAAATATACAAAAATTGTTGGAGATTAAAAGCTCTCTCTAATGTAAAGTGCAATCAATAGAATTTAGTAGAGTAGTAAGCAACAATGCAGGTATGTCTCTACCTCTAAGTGTGAAATGTTACTTCGAAATTGGCATGTGTCATCACCTGAATTAATGATAGGGAGTGAAGTAGTTGAACTCATCGACCGCTTTACTTATCTTCGGAGTTTCATCAGTACTGATTGCCTGGTGTTTGACAAAACCTCAGCTGGATAAATGTGAATCATGGCCATTTGGAATAGAGGATATTCGTAGGTTACTAGTATTCAGTCATAGATGTCTACAAAGCATCGCTTGTATATTTTGGGACCACGAAGTAACCAACACCTGGGTTAGAAATAAGATACGACGTAAGGATGGCAAATCAATTAGTGAGGTAGTGAACCTTCATCAACTGAGGTGGTTGGAACGTGTTGCATATGCCCAACCACCACCTACCTCGATGAGAGACGTTTTCTAGTGTAGGAGTAAGCTAGAAGAAAACTAGGGGCGACCAAACCAAAACGTGGCATCAGTGTATGAAGTCAATGACACTTGAACTTAGCTGTGTTGTTAGGTGTAGATTTTCTGGTTGTGGTCCGCGTGATTGTCATACCCAGTGATTAGAGACTAGGAGTGACATGGCTCAAAATCGTTTGGAATGTGGCAGGTGAATCCGTTCTTTGCATTCCTTTAGATTTCTGAGCTTCTAAATTCCTCATAACTTTTTCTGTCTTTATTTTACTAATTTATATTTTCTTTTCGAGTCTTATCTTTAATCTTTCTTATTACCATTGATACTATTCTGGGATTTGATCTGACAGTTTTATATCAGTGTGCTAATGGGGTACGACGACTTAGACCGATGTACATATGTACAGGTTCTACGTTGTGAATGACGGACTAAGTACAGTAGTAAAAGGCTGTCTATTTCGAAACAAAGTACATGGATTGCCGCTCAAAACATGTAAATATTTGTATCTCGTTTTCCGAAACCAACTAAAACGTTTTAGAAATCTTTTTACAACTAGACAATGAAGACCTTAACTGATTCATAGATGTACGTGTTTTTGCGATGAAATCATCAACTTGAAATAAAATTAACTTATTCGTCAGGTACTTAGGTATGGTGCTACCCAATTACTTAGACCAATGTAGATGGAGCGGGGTTTGAAATTGAGACTTAAAGCCTGAAAGTTGAGCGCCTTAACCACTAAACTAGTCCCCAACCTCGCAACTTTTGTTACTAAGGTGTTATGTAAGCATGATTAGTTTCAAGAGTGAATATCCACCATCTCGATATCCACTTTTCTTTATATTGACTGTAAGCACAGGCAAAATTCACTGTATACGTCAGTGCTACGTTGTCCTATTGAACTTTGTGTGCGTACTTAGTTATTTAAACTGAACGGACAAATTTTCAACGGGAACCCATTTTGTCGCACATCTCTGATACACTTTTGTTTAGCGTAACGACATAATATTAAAATGGTAAGATAAAAGATCAAAGAACTTAATTCAAACATCATATGATGACTAACAATGAGAAAATTTTCATATCTTAGCTACACTGGTGGCTTACCGTAACTAAGTAGGTTTATGCTTGTGTACCACAACTTTGAGATACATTTATGTGAATACAACAAATATTACTCAATTACCCACAATAAAGTGAAGCGTGTTTCTAACCCATATGGTAACGGTGCTACACTGATATGCTCATTTTTATAACGATGTTGCACTTGACATTGAAATCAATGAAATTAAAAATGGATAAACTAATTACAGAATCTTTGTTCGCCTAATTAAATAAAAATAAACTCAACACTTGTTTTAGATTTTGAAACTAACTCTTATCGAAAGTAGGTTTTAATGCATCATAACGTTTCACGGGACTTTGTCACAAAAATGGATAGACCTGATTGAAAGTAATGATTTTATTCGAGAAAATATGTCTCGGCCTCTATATCAAATTGCATTTAGCAGTTTGACTCAAACAGCCAGATGTCACTGTTGCAAGCTTGACAAGAGTCAAATGTCTCTGAGTGTCGTGCTTGCGAATTACTATGATCACAATAAAATAAATCCGTAGAAATGCTTGGATAAAATACTCATGATACTAAGGACTTGACAATAACACTCAATCACAGTTGACAAATATAATCTCTGAACGTTGTCTTTCTTTTCAGTACCGAGTACTACATATTGTTTTAAATGGACTGATAGTGTTTTAAAACAGCTGACGTGACTATATAAATCATGCTGTTAGAACAAAAGATCAGATGTAAGCTGAGTTGGAGTATAAAATAGTTTATACTAATGAGAACTGATATCTGAAACTCTATAGAGAATTAAAACCTCGACATTAAGAAAGTGCAGATATACTGAGATTACAAAACCATATTGTTTAGCAAACTAGTAGATGAGTATAATATTACTCACGAGAAGAGATTACGATGCATTATTGTATTTCGATACGTAAATTAAGAAACCATCCTAGAATGTTGATATCAATAAAATTACGATGACCGAATTGTTAGACTTTCATTGAGAAAAATATCAAGTAGGCAATAACTACAATCTGAAAAGTTGAAGTGTGCTCGAAACAACAACCATTTGTATACTATCTTATCCCTAAAAGAGAAACAATGCCGTCAAGAAGTATGGAATTAGCCCAACATATACTCATCTAAAAAAACAGCAACCAGAGAACTTTAGGAAATTGCTTAATCAACGAAGCTACAGCCATATGTGAAACTTGATCAATCAAAATTGAGGCACCGGCGTACTTATAAAATAAGGACTAGAATTATGTAGCTCACCTGCAAATATGAACTTGGCAATGGAGTAACGCACCAATCTTCCTGAAGAATTTTACCACTTTGATGCAATATGAGCATCCGACAAACCAAGCGGATGGCATAGTTACCATAAGGAGCAATGTTTAGCAGTTGATCTGAAATGCCTTCTAAGTCGCTGGGGCGTGTATCCTGTGGCACTGATTCTGCTGCAATACATGAGTATCGCATGCAAACCAAGGGTAACTAAAGAATCAGATTTAGTGTATTCACCTACTTCGGACCAAATTACATCCAAATGTGAGTACCTGTCACTTCTTACATGCACAAGATCGGGCAAACGGCAAAGCAAACCTAGAACCTGATCACTTCCACGACACTCCATTCGCGCTATCGGTGGGGGTGGAATGTTCGTTATTGAGCGGTCGGAAGCGCTAGAAGCTGAGCGTGTAACTGATACCAATCTCTGTATATGTCCCATTTGATATCCTTTCAATGACTTTAGGAGTTTCCTATCCTGTTTACATAAGCTGGGTCCTCTTAATCTCCGAGGCATGGACTCCTCTTTAACAGCGAACCAGGCCCATGATGGTAGAGGGAACCCACCAGGCAAACTGTTAACAGCGAAACGTTCATAGGTGGCCCAAAGGGGCTGATACTTTGGTCTGTAACTCTTGTCAGAACATTCATTCAATGAAGACTGACAGACGTAAGGGGCTATCTGGAATGTCAGGTATGCAGAAGGGTCATAGAACTCCGATAGTTTTCTTCTTAGCTGTTTGACGTCAAATACATTAATGTAGCTGAAAAATATAAAACCCGGAGATGTGAGATGAAAGGTGACTTTATTGCTAAGTTTTAACTGAAACTTATTTGTTTGGACAATTTAGGTTTAAAGCAATTAGTCCCTTTGATAAATTTCGATAATGTAATGAGAATATATATATATATCACAGTTCTGATAATCTTCGTCTTCTTATTACATTATCGAAATTTAGGTTTATATGTAGTTGCGAGCCAAAGTGAATAGAGATAAAAGACAGACACTGCTAATTACACACCTCGCATTATTTACCGTACAACTATCAGTCAGAATTAACACATACCGTGACGAAGGAATCTAGATTGTCGACTAAGTTGGTATACATCAGTAATTAAGCAGTGACGAAAGTTGCAGAGCCTCCCTACATACATATATCTTAATGTATCAAACATATAGCACAGGTTGCTCATAAAGAAAACACCTCACTCCAGTCATTGGACCTTAATGCCGTTCAACTGAGCTATATAAACGCAGAAGGACCTTGTCAAAACAACTCACTTCTATAGCCCCATCTCAATTTAGAACACGAGTAAAGAGAGGGGAAAAAAAGACTAATCTCATCAAAGTATACTCGGCAAATAAGGTGATAGGACGTAGACACCGATTAACCTACTACATAAGCTCTATCTCATAATATACACTCAATGACGCATTATGAAAAAAATGTTTATCCACTTCGTTCGTAAAAAGGTTCGGCTTGTTAAGTGTACCATGAGCAAAGTAAAATCTCTTACTTGTTCACAAAGGCACTTAGGAAGTTTAATATTTCAGGATTGCTACAGAATTGAGGCAAAATTTCTGGGAGGACCTTAGGAAGCACATGGGATTTTGAAGCTAAATATTTTTCGCAGACATTGAGGAACTGGATGTTTTCAAGTTTTTTTAGTGTCTTTTTTCGATTGCGCCGCTTAGTTTTTGAACTAACGTGCTCCACTCGCAGTATGCTGGTATTAGCCAGATTGCATTCGCCCTCATCTTCCGCAAATAACTCATCTGTGAACTCTTTATAAATGAAGGTGATGACTATACTCTACCCTTCTTTTTGAACCAAAGTCGTTTCTTCATGGATCACGTGCTTGATGTTAAGAAATTCCGTACCTGGCGCCCAATATTTGTTATTCATGTATCAAATATCTTCGAAATGACCTGGAATAAACCACTTGATTTCTTTTCTCTTTGACGGTCTGTTGGACTCAATAAGAAGAATAGGAAATTAGGAATCTACTGGGAATGTGGAAGAACAACAGGGCAAGAGAAGTGGAGAAGCCAAGTTATTAAATAGATAAATAGATATACATGTAACAGAATTATATAAACGTATGTTAGAAGGTAATAGATGGCTAAAGTGGCAGTAATGGTAGGTGAATTGTTAGATATGATATAAGAAGGTCGAATAAGTTCTACAGTGTCACTACTATGTTGGTACACATAGTTGAAAATTGTACCGGGTGAAAGACAGTAAATTACAGCTACATACAAGGTTTGTCAAATTTAATCTTCAAATCATTCACTGATTGAGCCGTAGTTGCTTCCACGTAAGATCGTATAGATTGAGTAGTTACTTCATGACATCTAAAACTTCGGGATTAGGTCTATTATGATAGTTGCAAAAATAAATGTACTAATGACGGACTACGCCATAATTTCACAGCAGCACTCCGTCCTCAGAAAATTGGGCAGGTATGGCTCGCCTCATGTTATTATCCAAACAATAACGTAGATGAGATGAAAACCTTTCAGGCTCAGAGAATTAGTAAACAATGAGCGCGTGTCATATCCTTCTTTGAAATAAAAATCACGAGAGGGACATCCGGCAGTGAACTTAACCATAAAAATTTAAACTATTTCGCAATCGCAGCAGATATCATGGGCGATATGTCATATTGCGCCACTCCCACTCACGAAATCTCATCTCGCAAGATAAAACCAAAGTATATTATTATGTGGTATAAAGTGTAATCCAGGTCTTTTGTGAGAAAAGTGTTATTTAGACGTTCTGAAACCCTAATGACAAACAGTCGGAAGAGTTTTTGGCTAAGCGACTTCAATGTCGATGAACCTTTCTTTGTAGTCAACACCTTTGACTTAACAATGGGAAGTTAGTAATTCGTCTTTTTTGAATATACACCAGGCGAACACAATTGAGCATTGAAAAGTAAGCCTTCGAACTGCACAACATTTTAGCTGAACAAGTGGAAGTCTCAAATGTATTCGTCTCAGTCCCAGCTAAACGCGCCGACCATCGTTTAACATTTCCAGAACTCAGTCGCCATTCGCATCAACGTCACATGAAAACTAACGCCAAACTAATCACAACGATATTGCAACTAGCATTTAGGAATTTACGGTGCTGTAGAAATAGCCTCACCAACATGGGCGAACGGTGTAGCTTGTCCAAGGACATCCTCCACTAGTCGACCAGTAAGCATATCTCTCATCAGTGGGTGTAGATCAAACTCCAACTACCTCCTTTCTGTTTCACTCTAATAAACGCAAGGTTATAAAGATTAGTCTTGCACTTAGAAACAAGTGAAATTTCTAAAGTAAAATCTGTAACTGGACATCTTACAATAAAATGCGCTAAAGATAATCCCCCACAAACGAAATAGATAAGAGCCAACTATCAGGCTCATTCGGTGATATCTATGCACAGCCACACTGAGCGTTCCATAATCTTAAGGAAAATGAAGCACATGTCACAGCAAACATATTGGGCGAAGATTCCTTGATCACACCCAAATCATACAAGCTACTAGCTAAAATTTCTATTCTGCCACTCTCATCTAGATATGTATTTACCAGTGGAAAGCTAATTCATTGACTCTGAGCAACACAAAATCAAGAGAACGTCGAAGTGCTTGGACCCATGTGGGTCAACAGGTCTGGATGATATCCACTTCAAAGTGCTGAGGAAATATGATGAGCTGCTTGACCTCACTCTAGACATCATCTACAGTTATTTAATTTTGGATGACAGAGTAGTGAACAAGGACACGTGTGGGGACAATTGAATGTATTTAAGCGCAAATTATGGACTATCTCACTAAATTCTGATAACTGTATAGTAAATAGTTAATTTACAAAATAACAGTCAATTGTCTCAATCTTAACTGTTCCTTCTGCAAAAATCAGTCCTTCTTTTTCGATTTCATTGTTCATGCATTTTCATACCAATTGTGCTGCATTCATGCTCTTTCCTCATCGATCTTCTGCCAGAATACATTCTATGTCTGACTATAACCATATACTACCTATGTGGATATAAGTAGCCCACACCACAACAGTACCAGAACTTCGTATATCAAAAATGATAGGTTGGAATCGTGTACTAAGAGGATAATAAAATGAAAGGCCCAAATTACAAGACCATTTCCTTACCCAGTACATATTAGTTCCAGCATAGGATAACTTTAGGTAGATCATGTAACCTGGAAGTGCTTGAAATAAATTAAACCTATTAAACACAAGTCAAACAGAAGAGGGTGCTGAAAGAAAGAAAGCAAAAGGGACATTCGAGAAGCAGAACAGACAGTTTTTATGTCCCGTGGAGTTTGTGGGGAGTAGTGTAACGTCGTGTACTATATTACACCTACATAGCTTATTCTAGTTTCTGGACAAGCCAATTCACCTATAACGTTATGAGTCATGTTTTGATCTTGTTAATTGTTCGCTTACTGACCTTGACTATTTTTTTATATGAGCGTATGTGCATGCACACTTCTTATCCTACCTATCACATGTCTGTCATTCATTTTAGCCTGACTATAAATGTTGATTAATGCTTGCTTATAACGAGTTGGCTTCCCAGCCATCTCCACTCTGCGTCATCTTTCCTTCGCTTGCTTACATTTGCTAATGTGCTCACTGCCTTCTAGCCCATGTTATTTATCAATAAAAATGTAGTTGCTGCTTCCATTTGTCTTCTGATATTATACACCGTTCAGATTGTTATAATAACGGTTATCAAGACGATCGATTAACGAAGCACTACACTACAAGTTTAGTCTTTGTGATGGAATAATTCAGGTATGACTACTTAGACATATTCTCTTTTATTAGTTCAATTTTTAAGCAAGTGTATTACAACAAGTTAAAGAGAACAAGCCAAAGCATGACAGTGAACGTACGAAAAACTTAATAAACAGAGGTGATTCAAAGGATGTGAAGGTTTGAAATCATGTATATTTTTTAAAATCCATAAAGCGGAACACAGTGTGAGGATGTACAATCAACTTTTACCTGTCGAAATTATTATTACTCCTTATTATTATAGCTTTAGCGTGATTGTCCAGTTTTACTTATAATACGTAATCTTGGTATTAAATGAAACAGATTCAAGGCTACAAAATGATCCAAAGGCGTGTTTAGCATTAGAAATCGATATCAATACATTTAGTTATTTACATCCCGCTAGACTGTGAGGAGCCGTAGAATAATGTAATGTTCTGTTCTGTAAACATGAATGGTTTGCATTCAACTCCTTGACAATACATTTTCTGGTTAGTAACACCACCCTCCCTATGCTATACCATCTTACGTTTTTGGTACGTATGAACGGTGCTTTGATCTAAGCTCCTTGTTTCAAACCTTGTTGCAATACACTATCATAACTAGTTCCGTGTTACAAGATATTCAAATGGCTAAAACTCATTGACAATGGGCTAGATATTCATTTTTTATCACACTGCTATGAAGTTAGCTGATGGTACAAGTTATAGGATATTGGTCAGCTGACATGTGGCTGACTGATAATAAAGACATAGCTGATCGGAGAATTTGAAAAAAAATCTAGGGTTGCAAACTTTATGAGTAAGTCGATAACTAGGTAATAAAATAAGATATTTGAACCCTAATTTTTAAAAGTTTTTAAAATTAAACTACAAAAATGAACTGGAAGGAACTCGCAACAATTTGGGATTGAAAAGTGAAACAAGGCAGGTATAGATTATTAGCAGAAGAAACAGACTATTTAGATCTTCTATTGTAAAGGTAGTAAGGTCATTAAAAAATATAGGTGTGCATTAATTTTTCTTGAAAACATGAGCAGTACATATTAAAATGACATAGTCTTAATACTGATTTATTCATAATGTCCATATTGCTTTTTAATGGAGGAAGTGGAATGCCTGCAGAAATATGCTGCAACGAGGGGTCGAGTTTTGTAGGTACAGTTTCTGAATTAAGAAAGCATATGCAACAGTGGGATCAGAAAAAGGTAAGTAATAACTCGCAACGAAGCAGATCCAACTACGTTACAATCAGCCATCATCTAGCGACTACGGTGGAATATGGCAATGAATGATTAGGTATTTGTGGCAGTTGTCATTACTGACCACTGGAGAACAGACTTTGACTTTGAAAATTCGGTTTTTTATTCAGTTGAAATCGAAAGGATTAAATAATTGACCCTTAACCCCATTTATTCAAAACTCTGGTGGTAAACTAGCTTTATCCTTAAATATTTTGCTGTTCTTGTGGAAATACAGCGGAATAGTCAAAGAGGGTAACGTCGGAGATAAGTGTTACAGACGTTGAAAACAGGTTAACTATCTAGCTTATGTTCCGGGAAAAGTGGATCGAAGAATTTTTACCGTCACTACATGAATATCAAAACTGGTTAGTCAAACATCGCAATTTCGGGAAAAGGGATATATTGATTGTGGCTTCGAGTGTTTTAACTCGTGGGAAGCGGCCCTTGTGATCAATGAAATAGATAGCGACCGAATGGTTCGGACGACGAAACTTCATACGATGAACGGAGTAGTTAGCGTAGATATGTGTAAGTTACGTCTCCTTGAATGGTCTGAGTAGTTTCTTGTTACACTAGTTCAGACAGAATCGGTTGGCATACCGCTCTAAGTCCTACTCTCCACTCCAGTATGGAGTATACTGTGTGATGAACAGTAACTCAAGTTGTCGAAGTGACCCCGTGTTGTATGGAAAGATCTTTGGGGTCGATGTAAGATCCTTTTTGAAAGTTTTGTGTATAGAAACCCCTTTACGCACACATTGTTGTTATTAATTCTTCTTGGTTCATTCAGATGTAAATTTTGTTGAGCATTTGATTTCATATGAGATAGTACTACTTGTATTTTATGGCAGTTTTCTGTTCTCCCTGTGTCCTCACTGAATTTCCATGGTCCTTCCGAACTACGTCGCTTTAGTTGATAATTGGTTATGGTACCTGCCATGTTGATTTGCGATTCCTGATTTGAATAAAATCGTGCATTTATGATGGTGAATTGAAGCACTTTTCCAGAATTGGAAACACTCCATGTGATTACTCAGTTAAATATAATTTCTCAGACAATCTGTGCATAATTTATCCGAAATGACTAGAATAACAATCTGTGTTGATGGGAACGTCTATTCATTGCACTCGGTAATTCTCTTATATCGTTTATCAGTCTATCTAATTCACATAATTTAAGTTTGACTACTGATTGAACAGCGATTCGTTAAATAACTGGGTGGTAATATTTTTTAGGTGAAAATGTCCGTATGAATTTGTAACGAAACCTAAGACCTCATTTACCTGTTTACTTCGTTTCGACTGGACGATAGCGCGTCCCTAAACTGACCTGAACAGTTATTCGCCATTCCGTACTGATTTATTTTGGAGGCTATAAGTAGTGTGATGTGATCATGGTCGTTAACTCAGGTTGGGCTAATAGTTATTCGTTAAGAATTGAGTGAATACGATCGTCAAAGGATAGAGGAGATGAGATATTGCCGGGTCGATGGAGGTGTATTATAAGAGGTGTTCTTTAAGTCAACGTGTAACTTTATAATATAGAGCTAGTAGGTCAGACTATAGAGTGCACCCAATAACAATCTGGACCATCTATTCCTGTCAAATGAGTGAGTGTCTCTAAAAAATTGGCAAGAATAGAAGCAACTAGGCGTACCACTGTTTTTCTTGGCTGTCCCTTGTATGATACTGGGTGTGAGTTCATGATGCACTTGTATCTGTGATTTTCTTGTGCTTGCTCTGTTTTCTCTATGCTCGCAAATCTCGTTCCGAGTAATAAAGTTATTGCAAAGCTACTGGTTCAACGAGGAAAAGGTTACACCATCACCTTTTGGTGAGGATGTAAAGAAAGGCGAGATGTTGAACCACTAATTTTGTTTGGTGAGGCTAACACTCCGTGCAATGACCGAAATGTCAACATTTGGTTTGAACGCAGAACTAACGAACTAAAATTTATCCTATTAGATCTATGTTCTTCTCCATAGCGTATGAAGCGTTTTTGAGTTATTCGTATTAAACTATATCAAAATACAAACTCTGTTCATAATTAAAATGGTTCTTAGTTAATAACCAGAACAAACTGCAAAATACTTCAAAAAGTACAATCTGTGCTATACAGACTAAGGTTTCTCTAACACAACTTAGCGAGCCAAGCAACAAGAGAAATTGGTGATACACAATAGTTCAATACCTGAGATTCAATAAAAATATTTCCAACAAGATGGGATCAGATATCTATCTTCAAGGACTCCAGCAATCTTTCCAAGCAGACAGTCAGCGGTTAGCAGTCACACACTGAACCACATTATAACCTTGGGCTTGGTCTAATACGACCTTATTGTCAATAGCCGGCTACATTCAATAGTAAGATTAAGTAACAAAAGGTCGGTCAACCAAATTCACACAATAAAAGCTCAGACGAGGAAGGATGAAGAACACAAATTATGATGGAATGTGATCTGAACAAAGCTTAACGTACACGACAGGGAGGAGAAATAAAATAAATTATAATACCGACCAATCAAGTCCTGTGGAGGGATTTTCAGCGTTTTCTCTCCATTACAATCGGTTCTATAGCGCCAGTATTGCCACAATATGGTCTTGTTCGTGGCTATATGGTGAGGGATTCGTAATTCGTTGCTGAATTCTAAAGTCACTGACAATATCCGGCGAAAGTGTGGGAGACATTAATTAATATTGTTAATTAGTTGGTTGTTATTATCATTGCATTAATATTTCTAAACCAGTCAACGAACCCTTTGTGATTGTTGAATGAAAGCGGATTGCTGTATCATGGTTTGCTCACTAGTTTTAGTTTTGCGATCGAGGATAGTTAGCAACATTGTACTTAATTCTCCACAAAGACGTTGAAAGTTGCAATCGCGACAACATCTGATAGGAATGCTCAGGATCTTCGTGTTTGACATAGATCTATCTGTCGTAAAAATCGTTCCAAGGTGTTTCAAGCTACCTTGGTTTATGTAAAACCACACCCTGATAATGTGTAGACCGAGAAGACAGTACTGGGAGGAACGAGTGGAAGTACCATGTACTGGAAGTTTGGACGAAGAACAAGCATTCACACAAAAGGCAGCAGACTAAATAGACACTGAAATGTCTCACGGAATCATTTACAATCTAGCACTCATTACCCAAGTCCTGAAAAGATGAAGATAAGATGACCCCTAAAGAAATGGACTGGCGACCCACAAGACTAGAATGTATGAAGTTCTTTGAATCCCGATTATATGGTTAGAAAATGTGTTATTCCCGGATCCCAAATCTGTTAACGGTGGTGGATAACTCGGTCATGTAAGTAAGAGTGATGTAACATGTAAGCTCCCTGAGAACTTTTAACCTGGTCATCCATGCTTGCTATACAGATAAAGTTTGGCAGTTGTGTTATAACCACAGTTGGTCAGCTGTCTTAAATCATAGGTAGGCTATACAGTTTATCCGATTAGCCTACATGGCGGTGAGTGGCATAAGCGAAATAGGATAATTGTTCAGACAGGTGCAATTGAATTAGATCGGAATAAACAGCAACAAAATTAATGGTATTGATAAAGTTCAAATCACTCCTGAACACTTACTGTTCCACTCTGCAGCCAACCACCATTAAACAGCAGCTTTTCCTAGGCCACATGACGGAGATCAAGTATAATCAAGCGTTCAGTACAGTCAAAAGTATCTGTTACAGAGCATTGAAAAGTTCGGCAGATATCGCTCACTCTGAGGATAAATATCGAAGATTAGACAATCGAACTCCATAGAGTTGACCATGCGGCAGTGTGCTTACCACATACTTCATTTTGTTTTCTTTCTGATATTTGGTTGGCTTGTAAACTTCTATTTGTTCTTGGCGATCGCTCGATTTCATGTTCTAAGAGCGACGCCTTCAAAGTTAAGATCTTCAAGTGTTAGGATTTAAGAAACACAAAAGTAGTCTACAATCTCCCAAGTACACCTAGATAGCCTTCAAAACCTTTATTCAAGTTTTAGCACAATCCGTAGGCGCAATACTAGGAATCTAGAGGTGTGCAATAAATAGAAGTAATGATGTCTGGGAAATCGCTATCAGCTGAAATGGTCTGAAGGGGATTCATACACGACAGAATTGGGCGATATTGAAGTCTAAACCTAGTGGTTTCTTAAGTCCGCAACGATATCGACTATTTGAATAGCCTCAGGAGCAGGTCTGGTCAATTCGAGTTTTCTCCTCACCATTTCTCACATTTCGTCCAATCAAACGTCTACCTGATAATATGATTCTCAATGATTCCAGAAACGCTAGACGACATACAAACTTACAAAAACTACTAAACTGATTAGAATGAATAAAATAGAGTGATTAGACTAGCACCCACCGGACGCTCCTAAAGACCTAGAATCATACTAAAATCACAAGAAACAAGTGCGAGCAAGTCAGTCGGCTTATGAAAGATATTGGATGTATTATATAGAAGTTATTTTGGCGCTGCTAGTTTCACCTCAGCACAAACTTATTAGGTGTTGATTTCAAAAATAATGAAAGTCTCAGTTAATCAAAAAGTGATAAAAAAGATCAATCCATAGAGTTGGCTTAGATAAAAGTAACAACCAGTTTGTTTTAATCTATCATTCTTATAGTGCATGTTTCGGCAACAAACTTACGATGGTTCGAGTTGAGCACTTTTGGCAGGACAATAGGAGGCTTATTTATGATATACGTTCTCTTGAAAACATTACCATCTCAAGCCATGTAGGCACCTTTCACAACAAGCTCAATAAAGCATTGCATGAAAAGTACATGGAACTTCTTCATAAGTTCGAAAATCGCTTTCCTAAAATAATAACTGCTACTCACTTTTTGTATTGGAGTTTCATAAGAACTAAGATCGCGAAGAACTATTTGGAGATGGAGGACACATTTGGTGGTAAATTGTACTCTGATAAACGTAAAAGCTTAAGCCAATGAAATCGTGTATCCTTGTGTGAATAGCAATGGAACTTGTTTAACTGTTGATTCCCTCATCCAAAAGATGACTATCAGAGGTAAATTTATTTTAAATTCGATTACGTTCAGATTCATTGGAGGCAAAGGTTTTTTCATCCAGCGAGATAGTTCTTTTCAATATGATTGCTGGTGTTTTGCAAATATTGTTCAATGTACTGGCTGTCATACACGTTACAAATATCACAAATAAACAGTCTTTTCCGACTTACAAGGATCCTATGCACTGGCTTTCTTGTGCCCAAAAGGTTTACAAGCTATATACACAGCGAAGTCCATCTAACACTGGTCCAGAATTTTTGGATACATTATTAAATTCAGAATCAAATTGGATACATGAATTCCAAGAGTCTGGAGGCCTCAACAAACAGAATCTGTCGGTGTGCCGCTTAATGCTTGAACATGAATACACAAAAACCATATTTTTAGTTGCACAAGTTTGTTGAATTTTTATGATATCGCTTTTTATCTTTGGGTATTTTCTGGGTAACGTACCATTTTAGTTATTTCACATGTTGTCACTGAAACTAATTAAGATCCAATTGTGGCGATGAGACACGATTGAAATATTCATAACTGACGATTTTGCCGTGGACTATCTGTCTACTATCTGATCAGTCCACGAGTTTAGGTCTATCGGCAGCTTACTTTAAAGTTCAGTTTAACTGGCTGTCAGCTACCCACCATCTCCAAAGAACCCAACTGAAAAAACAGCAAAATTTGCCTAACTCTCAACCAGATTAAAAGGACCACGCTCAACTCAATGGGAAGGAAAACAACAGGAACTTAAAGGTTGGCTCTACAGGTCTTTAAGCTTAAAGACCTTAACAGCTCTAGTGTGTTAGCGTCTTAATAAATTTTGAATGGATTCAGAAAACTGACTTGAATTTCGCCATCTTGCAATAATTATAACATTAGTGAGATATGTGTCTAGCAACCAAAGGAATAGCACATCACACCAGTTTGCACTCTATTACTCTGAGGATTTGAAACGTGGTTTGTCGCAGCAGATGACATGCATAGGTTACAGGTGTTTGTTTAATCGTAGGTATCTTCGAAGGATTACTCAGTATTATGAGACGACAAACTGAGTAAAGCTGGTGTTAGGCATAGGTTACTAATCAAATGTTGCATATCAGTAAGTGAGGTTCTAAACCTTTATCAATTAAGATGTGTTGCAAATGCTCAAACACCGCTCATCTCGACACGAGTTGTTAGTTGGTGAAGAGGTTGATTAGAAGTAGGCTAGGCACTGCCAAACTGAGAATTGAAACCAGTCTTTGGGGTCGTTGACTGCTGGTATAAGTCGTGTTGATAGATGAAGCCTATATTGCATGGGTCTCTTTTAAAACTGCCATCAGTGATCGAAGACTGTTTGCGAAGTAACTCAAAAACCAGTCACAGCAGAACATTTGAATGTACTGATTATCTTCCTCTATATAGTGAGTTTTGGTATCTCATTATATATCCCTTTCAATTTTTTTCTTGAACCATTTTCTCACCGTGTAGTCTTTTTCACCACTTTTGTTACTACATTATTTTACCTTATTTTATCTTGACCTTCTTGATTTCATCAAGCTGTGATGCCTTGGTTGAAAGAGTCATGCCAGTATATAGTCCAAAATGTTATTTGTAGCTATGAATTACACCTCAGACAATTGAAAGATGTATTCTTAACTAAGCTGGTTGTAGTATGATACCATTTTTCGAGGATGAATAAGTGAATATTTTCTTTTGAATATATTTCTTTATTATCGAGCTAGTTAGCTGAAACATTATGAGTGATTCTTCTGTAAACTGGTTTCATTTGTGGAACGTAGGTTTATTACACAGTTTAATATTTGTTTTTAGGAATAAAAATTACGTTAGAAATGTATCTCACACTGAAAAAAGTGTCTTCAACAAAAGATATTTACCGGAACTTTATTAGATATATCTCAGAGATTTAAATAATTATATATACCCTATTCTAGTATTCACCCACACTTTGCGGTAGTAGAATAATTAGTCGTAATGTGTGTTTTATGGTATACAGACTCCTAGATTTGTTCAGAACGTACTGTAGTAATTAAAAGTTGGTCAGTGGTCATAACCAGGAAGATACCGTAAGCGCATGTGAATAAATTGTATTCGAATTATAGATAAAGCGAGTAATTATATACAAATTAATTGTTTGTTCATAAGAACAAAACAAATTTCTAGTAACCTTAAGCTTTTTTAAAAAAAGTTCTTGTGAATTGTCGTTTTTTAAAATGGATCTTTCTTGAGTTCATGAGTTGGTTTTCTTACCATTTTTAGGTACTGAAATGTTCCAAATAAATATTTAAAACACTACCAGACGTAAACCAAACCACATGGTATATAAGCGTTTTTGCCAAAGTTAAAACTGACGAAATAATTTTTATTTCTTTCAGGTGCATCAGTTAGTTGGGAAACGGGCTCAATCGGCTGATTATTGTCAGTTAACTTTGTTACGTCAACTAAAATTCTGCAAATCTTTCAAAAAAGCTGTTAATAGCCCTTTTCGTTTACAAAATAATATAATTCGTATCAAATCAGCCCATTCACTTAGAGATTTGGAAAATAGAAAACTTTCTAAACGACATCCATGTTATCATTTTCATACCTTCGATCCTATAGAATGGGCTACAAATGCTGTTGCCTTAAGTGACTATTTCTCATCAGTTGAAAATCAAAATAACTGCTACTATAAAACATTCGAGTGTTTATTATCAGCTATTCAGTAAGAGAAGTTATGTATTTAAATCTGTTTAATAATTACTTACATATTTATGAACCAGTATATAAAGTGATATTTGTTTTCGAACATTGTTAGTTTTGTTATATGATAATGAAAACTGCAACCATTAAGAACATAGCAATGAAATTGTCAAAAATCGAGGACTAATTAATAATCGCGGAACTAATTTCTTGATTGAGTTGCGTTCTGTAAGCTGAATGGTTTAGCTGTAGAGCTTTCATTGCCACCTAGACAACATCATCAACACATACTTAAAAAGTTATGACATACGCGCTGATGTTGCCTAGTAACATATATAAAAGTCCTGTGATAAAACCATTTAATTAAGAGAAGTCACTTTCGTTAAAATCATTACCTCCGACTATGACAAAAGTCCTATGCTTACAGTTGGTGACAAGTAATCATATAATCTAGTTTCACCTAGCCAAATAATGCATTCTTTTTTAAATTGTCCGAATACTAAACTTCATTGAAAATGATTAGCTTATGAAAATCAACTCAGCTAATAACTTTTGATTTTTTATAAGCATTTATTCGATTGATCATAAACTGTGAAAAAACTTCCCTTCAGATTTATTAGTATTGATAGATTCTTCAAGTTTAAAACAGTCCATTCTGTTGTACGTTCGTAAATAGTTTGATAATTTCTCGTTATCTAACTTCTTAATCTTATGAGCTACACGATATTTATATCCACTATTTACACATCATATAAGTCTCCTCATTATTAAGTGCAATTAATTGTGGCAAATGAATTAATAAAAAACTTCTGCAATGAGCACAGTACCAATCATTTTGGATCGCAATTAAAAAATCATTATTTAATTCTAATCTAAAGTAGCAGATAGTCTTTAAATTCTTGTAAATCCAACGGTTAATAATTTTAGTAGATTCTCTCTGCACTTACAGATACTCAATTGTGGATAAGGTAATGATAAGTCAAACAGTGTCAGTCATTGAAACATAATAATAAGTCCAGCTCTCATTTTACAAAACTACACTCTGGTTATTAAATAAAAAATTAAAGATCATTATATTTATTGAGAAAATAAAGTTACAAACTAAATTATTTGTTGTTAAATAACTCTCTTTTAGTGTTGTGGAAGAAGCTAGGCTTGAAGGCAACATCCCATCCAGTCAAATAGACAATACTCTTGCAAACATTTATAGAGATCTAGTAAAAATCAGTCTTGATCTACTTGAGAAAGGTACAAAACAATATGGGAACTTAGTTGATGAAAAATTAACCAGTGAAGACGCAGAGTTTAAGAAATCTGAGGAATTACAAAGCGGTAAGTTAGTAATTGATATTAAACGGAATCTTCCTACAGCACATCAGTTATAGACACTAATAAATGTCGAGAATTAGTTGTATATTTTAAGTAGACCAACAAGTATATAAAGCACGAATTATCTGTGCTCGTTCAGCTTCATTCAAACCAAGTCATTGGTTAAAAGTGTTTGGTTCATGTTTATTTAAATAATTAAAATCCAGTTTGTTTTGGATAATTAGGTATACTTAGAGAAAGTTGGTTTTAAACTATTGAAAATTCTCATTATATAAACCGGAATAACCCATACAATTGAACAATAATGTTTTTAGTTAGGTTAGTAAAATTTATGTCCGTATATGAAAAATGCTAAAGCAATCAAGGAAATTCAGAGGCTGGCGATAACGACCGAAAAGATTATTTGACAACCATACTGGGTAAAAACATTAATTTTTAATAGAACGACATGTTTATTAGCATTTATAAGGGAAATAAACTGGATGATAACATGAACAAATACTTCTTCACGGGAATCAAACCAAAAACTAAGGAAATAAACTTAGTAAAACAAGAGTCGTCAGAACTACGTAACAGAAAGTGTGCGAAGAATCATTTTAAGTATGTAAATGGTAAAGATGAAATTTTCTAGGGGTGGGGAAAAATAAACACAAGGTAGGGAGAATGTGTAAAATTGTCTACCGATTTTCTCAGTTAAATAAAAACGGAATACAAACTTATTGCAAATATAAAAACTACTACGCCTGTAGTATGATCCATTCATATTTATTATAGTAATTATGTATTCCTTTTTCACTGTCATCATTGACTGGTTTAATACTTTTTGTATGCAGATACGGATATTACAATATATATTAGAGATAAGCCTAGAATATATATTCAGTTAACAGTTTCTGAGTTGAACATTTGCATACGAAGATAATTAATCTAACTTAGACGCTGAAAATTAGTAACTTTAACTTGAGACTAATTGTACCACTGAATGCAGTGCATGATGAAACAAACTTATGGTCATCCATAAATAATAATGTGCTTTCTAATTTCCATTTTCCACTGAAGAGCATGCCGTTGCAGAGTTACAGTTCAGACTAAACGTACGATTTGGAGCTATTCAAAGATAAATAGAGAAAATGTCTACTATATAGTCAAAAAAATTAGCTCGTACAAAATAGTAAACACATGAAAAACTTTATGGTTATTTGTTTAAATTATTTGTAGCTGTCTTCAATGAATATTATTTCTTACAGTAAAATGAGTGCGATGGAAAATGTGTGGGAACAAAATCACCTCTAAAGTGTTTCTCCACAATCTCTAATGAGATAAGCTTCACAGTCAGATATAATCAGCATGTTCATGTCTCGGCAGCTAATTTGGCTATAACTTATTGTTCTTTTAAGTCTATAAATTAAAAGTAATTCAATAATGTAGAAAACCAATAAATTATTTCTACTGGTAATAATAATGCTAATCATTATTTATGTTCGTTACTAAGTAACGGTAAACGTCTTTTCCTATACACAGAGAGGGAAATTATTACATATGTGTTTATTCATTTTCATCAATAGATTAACAAAATTTCTCTAATCATACTGGGAAACTAAACTGTTATCTATAAATTCATTTTTGCATCAGTTGTTTGAATCTTCCCATCGATGTTTAAGATTGCAATTGATCAGTCTCTTATTAGCATATTATCTATGCCTATTATCTATGAACTCCGACCGATTAATTTTAGTTAAATGGTCAATAACAGTATAAAGACTTTGAATTTGTACAATCTATTCTTCAAAAAACTGTACAGATGGTTTAAATCATTTCAGACTTAAGTTCGGGGAATTTAATTCGAAATTTATAAGTCATCAGTTATTCATAAGGAGTCAATAGAAAATGCAAGACCCGACTTTCATAGTAGTCAGCGTCAACCCTAAATACTTAAGTATGTCGTTCAAAACCATAGTTAGTTTTTGAATTTGAGCTGCTCTCATTAGGACTTCATCGTTTAAAAAGCCAAATCTCCGTGCGATAATCAGTATGATATTTATTCTAATTCTAATCCAAATATATAACTACGGTTTTGCAATACAGCCACCAGGATAATTTAAATTTGATTTAATTAGAATAATTTGGAAAGAACATTTCAGTTGATATTACATAGACAATCATTTTATTTCTTTTAAATCTTTGAAGATTATGGAGTTAAAACCACTTAGAGTTTTATAGTTAAAGAAGCAATGAATAACCAAAACTTTTGAATGAAAAGTATTTTCACAAGGGGGTTTTGTGGAGATTTTAGTAATTTTATATAGTTAAGATAATGAGTCAATCGAAGCTAGACCACCATGGAAAACCTGGAAGCACTGAACAGCCGTTTCGTTCTATTGTGGGACTCCTCAGCAATGCTCATCCACGATCCCGTCTCGTAGGGTTTCGAACCCAGGACCTACCAGTCTCGCGCCAGAGCACTTAACCGATAGACCACTGAGCCCGCATCCACAAAACCCCCTTGTGATAATGATCATATGCTCACTAGTGTCTGGCTCCATGAAGTAATTCCCGGAGTTCTAGTGAAAAGTCGTGGCCAGTGGAGCTAATCCACGTCAGGTAGAGACAGGTATCTACCTCAGTAAAACGGAATTTGGTCGCGCGATTTAGTGGATTGGTTGAGGTTAGACATTAACAATGCTTGATGCTGGCTCAGTAGTTTATCGATTAATTGCTCTGTCGCGAGACTGGTAGGTCTTGGGTTCGAATCTCGCGAGGCGAGATCGTGGGTGCGAACTGCTGAGGAGTCGCACAATAGGACGAAACGGTCGTCCATTGCTCCCAGGTTTTCCATGGTGGTCTAGCTGCAATTGACTCATGACCTTAACTATATGGAAAGTATTTTGTTATATATTTAGTGAAAATAAGATATGTTTCTGTCTGATCATTTACTTTTAGTTACTAAGTTTGGATCAATGTTTAATTTGGAGCTACAACCAATAATGACTGAATTATTAGACTATAATTTTAATGTAAAAAGTTCGATTTCAAATGTGATCCCATGGAATAACGATTTTATTTACAAGTTAGTTAGACCACCTACAAATTATGAAACAGCTTCTGGAATATTTCGCATTATATTAAATTGTATAATGAAAGCTGAAAATTTTTATACACTACAAAATCATTGCATTGATGCAATTGGTTTGATTCAAGATCGAAGTAAAGCTTATCGCCTGATGGCTGTTTTTGAAAAGAACATCAGTAGACAGGTAATTATGACCATCATCTTTAAATTTGTGGCAATTAGATTTGCTTTATGTTTGATACACATTTAATTGACGATTGTATTGTGGTATTACAAAGTTATATCTCTGAGTAACTAAAATTTTAACCATTTTGTTTATCTATACCTGGACCTTTGATGAGTTTCTCGAAAATCTTCAGACAGGAAGCAGAAGTAAGGACCCTAATTTTGATTGGCTACCTGGGAAGTTGTTAAAGAGTAACAAGAAATAAATTACTGATTTATCATATTTCAAGACCTTTCAGAAGAATATATAATTGAGTTATTCAATCGTCTAACTTGATAATTACACGTTTTAGCAAACACATAAATCTTGAGCCATTGGATTGTGATTCAGTGATTACCTTATTCTCGAATTTAGTCATTTTATTTCTCCCCAATGTAAGACTTTAAAAAGAATGTTTAACCAATACAGGTTACCAGTTGGCATTCGGTAACTTCCATTTATGAGCGATTGAGGGTTCTTCTAATGCAATTCAGCAGGTTGAAACTTGAATAGACCAAATGTTTTTCACACAACAACACTTCAGCCTTTACATTCAACATCCTAATAGGGATAGAGAAGAAAAGTTTTGCAGGAAAACTTTATGTTTCGTAAAGAACTCAGAAATTGATAGGGAATAACTATGTTTTTCAAAGAAGGGCCTTGATGCAAATAGCAAAAGAAACTAAAAGCAACAGCAACGAATTAGATAAAAGCAAATATTAGGAAAATTTCATCAAGTTTATCCTTATGAGAAAGAACTAACATGTAATAAAAAACCTAGATAACCTGGTCACTTCATAGCATCCAACTATCTTCGGATATCATTATCAGGAATTTATTTGACCAGAAATCCGTTGAAATGTACTTGTCATCATTTCAAACAAAAAGAGGAAACCTCCGCTTATTAGGTTCAGATATTTATTAAACATCGATACTAGTGATAATATGTCACTAGTTTGTAAATAAATATTGTATTACACTCTTTCTTCACATTAGATTAGTATTAATTTCCAATAACAATGTTAGTAGTAATGATAACAGTCAGTTAAATGCAACAACAGTGTTTAAATTCGCCTACTAATCTAAGATAGGAATTTTAATAAGAAGTTCATAAGAACTTTCGTCTAAATTAGAGTGAATAGTTTCACAATATTTTGGCGCCGAGTTCATGTAAGACATTAAATAGAAATCATACATTTGTAAAATCTAAGCGAATAAATTTGAAGTAAATCCAACGTTTCGCCTGGCAATCTAGTCCAAGCTTTTTTTCAAGGAAATATATTTAAGAAGTTGTTTTAATCTACAGATAGGTGAGTTATGTCATTGTCTTATTACACCAATACTGTTAATTCAAACACTAATCAGTTATAATTTATTGTAATGTTATAAAGATAGCTTTATACAATACCATAAATTTTGTTAGAGTAGAATAATCCTAACATCAATTTCCTAATATTCCAACAAACCTCTTTTTGGCATACATGTAAATTGGTATCATTCGGAAATATATTTTATAAATGTTTTTCAGTATTTCATATCTCCTATCTTTAATCACAAAGGTCTTTTACTAGCTCAGGGATCTACTATAACTATTTTTTCTTTCTATCTTACATAAGACACATGATTTCCACCTTAGTCTTCTCTAAATTTTTCTAAGGATAAACAAGTAGAAAAAATGTACCATTAATTGTTTTCTTTCCGTTCAAGTTTTCCAATATTTACCATCGGACTATTCTGTAAGATTTTTGCAATATTGAATTACTCATGTACAAACGGTTACCTATACACATCCTATACATTGCATTATTGTTCTTAAAATTTCTAGTGTTGTATGCATAAACGACGAATAGACATGTTAAATAATGTATTAGGACAATTAAATCCAAATCACTATTTACACTTATGTCGCCAGTTAACATTTGAACTAGCAGAAGCTTTGAGTACATTACGTGATTTGAAAAGGAAACTACTGGATGAGGTTAGTTGGATATATTGCTTTATAACTGATTTTTTTGAAATTAACTTAAAGAATATCAACAACATTCACTTTTATGTTTTAATCTTGTTGTTTATATGAAATTCTGTTGACTTTGGAGATATTAAAGCAGGAAAGATTGATTCGATAGCGAAATTTCTTCCTGTCAATTTAATTCTTACAGTATGACAAAGGTATACATATATAATGAAAAGTCTATCATATGCTTGATAATAACAATTTCTTTTTGAAAATGTCAAAAAGCACAAATTCTGTTTTGCAGGAATGTGTTCGTTAAGGTCCATATGAAGCACAGTGCCAGCTTCGCGATAGGACGAGTCAGTATAGACGACTATGTGCCTTGTACGTAGGACTTCACAGACTAAGTGGTCATATCATAGCAAATCCACAACAATTGCTTAGGTCTATTATTCTAGTGGCTTAGATATATGCACTCATACTAACTCAGTCCTAAATCATACGAGTTCTATTTAATTGGATAATTAGTGATGATCGGTACATGATGGATCCCCTTGAAAGCCACCTGTTATTCTGGACGTTCTAATTCTACTGGATCGTTCATTCGGTTCAATAACACTTTGTTGAAAACATTGTCTGTGAGTGGCAATAGCGTGACCACTGTTGCTCTCATAATTACTAAGATTTCTATTCGGTGTATTCATGTTGTGCCTCGCTTTTCGACCTGTTAATAAATTCTCTTTCGCCTAAATATTTGTCAGAAGAGTGTGGAGGATCTCTGCGGTTACTTCCATATCGAGCTTCCGTGCTTCAGTTGGTTTGATGTCTGGCCCTGCTATTTTGTCACTGTTGATTTGTGTGATGGCTGTGTTGATTTCTTCGATTGTGTATGCTTTGTTATCTAATGGAGGATCTGTGCTTGATTCTCAATAATTGGTCTTGCCTCTTTGTTTTTAACTGGTCGCTGAAGTTTTGTTAGACTATCCTGTTGACTTCTTTGTTGTATTGCATAATTCTTACACAGTTTTTGCCTTACGGCTATTTAGCTATCGTTGTTAGGTCTCCTACATTTTTAAACCTGTCAGTTGTGATCGATCTCGTTCTCTGTGGTTTTATTTGACGAAACTCACTTGGCTTTGTATGTAGGTTTGTAGGAGAAAACTGTGTCATCTAATACCATGATATTGGAAGCATATTGGTTTGAAGGTCTCATTATTCTCATTTATTTCTCCCAGCCCATATCGCATTATGATATCTTCATATTTGGTGTCGTTCATCTTGACCTTAGAGTTTCGGTCTCTCGTTGGCACCTCACAGAAATGACCTTTATCATTTTTGCTGATGTAACTGTTAGTCACGTTGCACTGGATAATATCCATTGTAATTTTTCCTTCTTCTTTCATGATGCTTTAGTTATCCTGGAGCCATGAGATTCACCTTCTATGATGTTTTTTCGGAGTTTGGACAGCATAAGGCCAACTCCTTATTTGCAAGGGATCTTTTTCATGACCATAGTAGTACATCATTCTCTCGGTTCTAACTTATTCTGTCCTACTTGCGTCCTGGGGTTTCGCATATACCTAGAAAATTCAAGCTAGATTTTTTAATTCCTCAGTAACATAAATGGTCCTCCTAGTCTTTCATTGTTTTTTGGGAGTCTCCACGTCTCTATAGAGAATGAAATACAGTATAATTAACTTGATCAACAGGCAAACCAGGACCAGCAGACGAACAACGGATCAGTTTGTTGAACAATTACAGCGAGTTTATTCACTAGTACAACAATAATGGTACGATATCAACTGCAGCTATTTAAATATCAATAGTAGGAATATTCATCGTATGCCCTTTCGTTAGATATTCTCACTGACTCTGGGCTCCAACTAAGAGGTGTACACTGAGATATAATAATAACAAAAACCAGAGCCACAAGATGAAGAATCTGGCGCGAAAAAATGGAATTTTATTACAGTCCAATGAGATCCATGATATTAATAGCTCAGCTCATTTACACGTAAATTGTACAGACATTCCATGTATCTATGTTGGTTTTTGCTGTAGCTGTCGGAAGATGCACAAGCTTCGTGATTTCTAAATAATCAGGGCTTTCATCATGAGGATTCATAACTGTTCTAAATGAAGATCCTTCAACTTCCAAGGCATAGTCTAAGTGGTTTAAATAGTTTTTCTGATCAGCGTTTTTTGTCAACTTTTTTTGCGGAGTTGCGGTATTAATCACATACCAAAACCCCTTTTATATGGGCTTGAGACCAGCAGGAACCCTTTAAGAGCTTCAGGCGGATTTATATCAAGAGAAAAACTTGAACAATTTTTTTTACATATTCCGAAGTTCTTTTTTAAGGCGTCTAGTATCATAGAGTTACCCAGATATGAATCTGGTTTCAGGTTTTTCTATTTTGCCTCATCGATTTGTGGAATACTGCAAAACAACCTAGATATATCTGGTACATTAACAGTGTTGTGTCATCAAAACTTGGGATCCCCCTGTAAAATCAACTTATTTTTAATGCCATGACCTAACATTGAATTTTTGTGACGAAGTAAATTAATTTAAATATATGAAATGTTACTGAAATTCAAGCTGAACAATAAATAATCATTCGCGTCTGATGAGTCGTTGGGGTAATGTATTTCAAAATCTGTTTTCTCTGTAAACTCGTAGTTGATATAGGAGGTCTTAATTAAAAATTACTCTTTTTATAGTTATGATAATTCTCTAATTTCTTTAATTTGTATCTTTCTATGAGGATTGTTTTAAACAGCTCTGTTACATTCATTGAATGTGACACACTGACCATTCCACAGAATTTGCAACATTGAAATGACTGCTCTTTTAAAATCCAACAAATTCAGTATATTATCTTCAACTATGTTTTGATTAATGTGAGTGAAAAAGTGGCAGACATTGCAGAAATGGAATCATTAATTGGAAAAAAGCCAAAACTTGCATTCTACAATGTAGGAGTTGAGGAGATTGTATGTTTACAATCCCTATTAAGACATAAACAAATATTTCAATAAAATATTTGTTTTAAAAAAGATTGGTTATTTGAGCATTTGGTATAATATTTGATGTCCATTGAATAGTCACTACAGGGTGATACAAAATGCTAGTAGTGAATGATATCATATAAACAACAAGTGCGGATTTTCAAACAAGAGATGTGTGACCAATGTCTTTTTCAGTTATATCCATCTAAAGCTAAAACAAAAATCTTGTTAAAAAACATAATTTTAAGTCCATTCACATTGAAAATCACTGAGCAAGTGAATTTATATCATTAACCAATTAAGTGAACAAAATATATTCAAAATATACCTGAGAGGGTGGAAATTCCTACTTAATAGTCATAATGTTTAAAAGCTTGAAATGATAGTCTCTCGAAGGATCTATTGCTCGATTTTAAAACATTAGCATTTCTCAGATGTAATTGTGACTATTATGTATTTTGATAAAACTGGTAACCTCCTGCTACACATGTGTGTATATACTTATTCTTCAATAGATCCCACTAAAAGAATGTCACGTTTTGGCACACTATGCGCGGAAGTCAGATGATCTTACAAAACGTGCAATATCTGTTTATCGAAATTTCTTAGAATTATACGGAGTTCATTCTGGAACGACAATAAATTGCAGTGACGATGATATAAAACCACTGATCGTAAGTTAGTCTTTTAACTGTTTAAGAAAGGGATTTAAAGATGTTCAAACGAGTTTAGATCTCTTTTCATCACGTACTAATATCAGCAGTAGACCATTGTAAACTAAGGGGAGCCTTACTGATGTTTAACTCTAGTTTGCAACTGAGCAGTATTACATCCACAACTCCATATGGGGTAAATTTACGTTCTTCAGGTCACTTAGCGAGTAAATTAGATTCATACCACTGAGTTAGAACTTGATGACTGACGTTTCTAAATTCAGTCAGTTTGTGATATTGCACAATTGTCATCTTGTGTTTTTTGTTGCATCTGTCTCACTTAATAGTGGTCGAATCTAACCGATGCGGACTCCTGATGAGTCCTTAATATAATATAGATGGTTGTTCATTTATGATTGCCGTTCAGTGATTCTTTGGCAGATTCCATCTTATGATAACAAACCATTTTATATCGAGCTTCCATCCTCACCAGCCTTTATCTTAATAATAATAATGAAAGAATTTTCCACAAATTTCAACTGAGTTTGCATCGAAATTAATAAAGTAATTCAAACTTTTTAAACCACTTAAAAGTCGATTTGTCACTCCTAACATTACTTTATATTAAGCAGCTGCGTTCAAATGTAATTTTATTGAAAAATCGCTGTCTCAAAATATTATATAGGTATCATTACCAAGTTTTGATTTGATAATTTTGAATAAATTGAGCATTGGGTAGATTGTTATAAATAAATTAATATATTTGTAATATCCCAATGAGTAGAAAAAATTAGATTTTTTGACGTTTCGTGACTCAGTGTAAGCCACTTCTTCAGAGAACTCGACAGTCAGTTTCGGAACACCGACTTTATCATACTGCGATTTGTATTACTCTTAACTGTTCTTCCTGATGATAGTGAACTGCACATCAGTGAAAGTACTGTATGCGTATATTTAATTTACGAGAACATTTAGCTTAATGTAGTGAACATTTAAACCAATCAACTAAACATGAAAATGTTTGTGTCACTATTAAGAAGGTTGTCGAAAGTGATTTATGAGTTCTGTAGATAAGCGACTAACATAATAACTTCGTCAGATAACCTGTATGTGCTATAAAATTTATATTATTGCATTCAAATATGATGGGTTGTTGCTGTGGCTAGGAGTTACTTCATGACCATTTATTTAAATGATATCTTTAGTTAAATGAGTGGTAATAGTAAAGAGACACAAAGTTCGTTTAAACAGCTCGTTGAGATTTCTATTAGTGTTAGACCATGGTTTACATCGGTAAGGTTACGTTTACGTAGTTCATAAAACTGGGACTCAAACTAAGAAACTTTTAAAATCCACCTACGGCTTCGACACAAGATCTGCACATTATTCTTAAACATACTGAACTCGATAGACTACTATAAGTGATTGAGTAACTGAAGTGTGACTAAAATGTACCTTACGAAATGGCTCACAAATCATGAATAATTGTAACACTATTTGGATGGTAGCCACTGACGAAAAAGGTTTTAATAAGTCACTAGGAGTAAAGTAAAATATCAACTACACAGTTTCAACAAGATTTAATGTCAGAATGAAGTCCCTAACTATCAAAATACGATATATCATGAGATTACTGCTGCTAATATTGTTGGACTCCTAGTGATAAATTAGGCATATCGTGTACTTGTTCTCATATATTCTTTAAGTCAAAAAGAACTACTAATAACAGTAACCGGTACTATTAAATAAAGTTGAACTGGTGAGATGTTCGTAGATTGTTTCAAGCAAGTGAAGCAGACAATGTAGCGGTTCATATCTAACAAGAAGGTACTTTGTGTATTAAATGAGCATGCAGTGTAACATGAATGAGGACAACTGGAAGAGAAAAAAGTAAAAGGTGAGCCGACCACCTATCAAGAGCATGCAGGCCTCAGTTTGAGACAATCTGAAAATTGAAACTAGAAGCAGATATAGTGAAGATTTTAACCAAGTACAACAATAAAATTGAGATCAATAGCAAAAGTTCAAAAACCAAAGAAGTGCATAAAACATTACCTATCATTCCTGATGTACACAAGCATAACTGAACATGCGTATTTGTTAACAAATGATGACACGTTTAGTAATCTATATAACACAGCTACCATAAAACCTCTATCCCTATTAGTAAACCTAAATACCTATGAGTGTTGAGGCTCTATCACTAGATTTTAGTATTAATTATAATCACATAGAGGAACATAGGCATAGAAATGCTTTGAAATATTTGAAATTGCTATCCAGCAAACATCATTTGAGTAAATGATCTTTTTTTCAGGTGACCTGTCTTCATACTGCTCGGCTTTATTCTCAACTTATTTCGACCTGTACTGCAGAGAAAATTCAAAACTTAACAAAAGCTTTGGAATTTTATGTACAGCTAGTCGCTCTTGCAGAAAACCATATACAACGTGATGTCTCTACGGCAATCAAAGATTGTGAGGAATTAAGAATAGCTAAAGAAATGGTCGTTTTAATACCAGTTAAACTCACTCGACTGTCTCGAGGCGAAATATTACCTGACTAGTCAAAAACCAGGCAAATAACTGTCCCTCATTTAATGTACATAAATTTTGCACTGAATTTTATTCGTGTAACCAATTGTGAAATAAATATTACCAGGTCTGTGTTTAAGTACTATAACATTTGTCCTGCAAGCAGTTTTTTGTACCATGCTCATCGCAGTCAAAACAAGTCTTAATATCCTGGTCTCTCTTTTATTATTTATTAAGTTCAGTAAAGAGTGGGTTTAATAAACAATGTATATTTAATTCTGATCAATGCGTTCATGGGGCCAAACAAATTTATGAAAATGTCAGCGTTGGACTTGAGTGTCATCTAAAATTTACGGGTTATCGATCTGCAATTGAAAGAGGCATAGTGACTTATTGGCTACTTATGAATATCCGTATCTTGAAAGTGAACTTGGAATGGTGTGTATTCAAACAACTAAAGTTGCACCTTTCTGAAGAGGAAGGTAGTCTCAATCCACCCTCCACATTTGAGCCACTAGATGAATATGGACTGGTGTTGCAATCTACGGTAGACTGGGTAGACTTCAGTAAACACATATTAAAAGTGCTACCTTTTCAAATATTACTCACGGAAACTTTTTCTTAGAATAGTACGTTACTAATAATGCTGTAATTATTACTACCCAGAAAATGTATATTTACTAATTCCACAGAAGTTTTGGGTGTTACCACACATTCTGGGTCAGTTCACAGATTTTATCTCGTTCGATTTATTCGGTAGTCCATGACATATGTAACATTTTTACGTTACCACGATATAAATTCAAGGTGATACCCAACGTATTATGTTCAGCTAAACAATTACTACCTTTACTATGCATAATAAGCCATTTTGAGATGGGGATAATAGGATAATATATGGACTGAAATCTACTGTCCTCAAGATAAACGAAATTATAAACAAGTTATTAAGGCACAACAGTTACATTGAATATGTACATATTAAAAGTTGAAAATTTCTGAAAGTTCGTAGCGGTTAAAAAGTCCCTTAAACTAATAGTTCTGTAGGTTTTCAACACTGATGCAGTTTTCATTAGTTTTTAGGATACCATACCTGAAGGCGCTCAGTTACACATTCGAACCACGGCACAAGTGATTGCGCCGTACAACATGTCCCTTGCACCTACTAGCCAGCTTAGATCAAACGCTTCTGAACACGTTAAGGACTGTCCCATATATGTCTCCAAACTCATTCATTCCTGACATATGGTTAGACTGGGTTGTTATCCTTCGATTATAAAGGTGTTACGGACAAAGGTATTGCCTAACACTGAATATCTGTGGCATATTTAAGTTTATCCAATATCTCAATGATGCACTTATTATTATTCCTTTGAAATATTTTTGGCTTCAAATTTCGTTTGGTTTCATCCGTAATAATGAATAGTTGCAATGAATGGTTGAATATCACGATGTCCGATAAAGAAATGTTTAACCCAAACACCCGTATATTCATTTTGGAATATAATATCTGACGGAGTATGAGATGGTCGATTGCATTATCTCAGTTCTGATGAATAATTTATACCCAGTCGCGCGATCAAGTCGGTTACCTCACATGTCAATCCATATAATATCCAGTTGACCACCTAGTTATCTCTTTGTTAGTCACATTACGTTGATATATTGATTTACTGATATTTGACAAATGTAAGTGGGACGCTTTGGAGAGTTCGTATTCGTTACATAATGGATGTGAATTGTAGAATCTCGGATTCATGTCATAATACTCATGTACTGCATATTTTATCTTCAGTGTTATCTCTACTCTAATATAATCGCTGGTGCTTCTGGTGTGTCTCAGTATAAGTTCAAGTAAACCATAAAGAGACCTAATTCAGGTGTTAACTCGTCAAAACTGCCAAGAGAGCTGAGGTTTCAATACCGCTGAGCTTGTTTTACCGCGTCAACATTTATTTTCTGCATTTTCTCCTTGATCGTGGTTTGCATTGTGTCTGTGTGTACATATAGTGGTTGGAGCTCAGGATCAGTAAGAATACCTGAAAACACAGTTGAAGTCATACCAATATTATTGAGCCAGTGAGTGAAGTCGTTTTAATTTCTCAGCAAACGGATTCCTGTGTCATTGTCCATTTACTGGTTTTGATTCGGCAACTGGGATAGCTAGTTACACTGTTTCATTCTTCATAAGGACAGGGACACCTCAATTGCGGTAGTTACTTGTATTACAGTTTGTTTGCGTTCGACTAATCGTGTTATACTATGATTCCTCCTAGCACTAATGTACGCAATTAATTAAACTACTTAAATATGTTGTGAAACAAAAATATTGGACATACGCATGATAGCAGCAATATAATAAACTTCCCTGGGTGATTTGTTAATGACTTCTCAGTAGAAAGAAAACATCAATATTGAAATAAAGTTCACTCAGCAAGTTTGTAGAATATATTTTTGTTATAACATCTGACCTGTGTGTCCTATTAATGCATAACTTGACGGTACCGCCAATTAAAGAGCAGTGATTTATCGATCGGACCAGTGACACATAAAAACCGTACGAGCAGTCTAGAGTTCTTGCAGGTCCTACTTCCGCCTATCCAAGGCGGTTAATTCCAGAACACCAATAACAGCCTCAGAAGTATGAATCATTTATTTCAAACATAGTGGGTTTATATACCAACCAGACAGACCAAATCGTACCATAAAACGAGAAACAACATTTGTACAAGATTTAGTCAAATTTGGCTATGAGTAAAGAGAGGTAGTAAATGAAAGACAGGGCATGTCTCAAGAATGGCAAATCACATAATAATACTTCATAGGTCAAAATAAAGCTTATAATAATATGAATATGAGGTTTTGTAACTCAACAGCTATATAATAAAAATAAATGTAACATATTGGTCCATAAATAGTTCTCAAAAGGTACTAATCATAATTCTCTTCGGGATACAACAATTATCACTCGACTACCAGATAATTTTAATTGGCATTTGTATCGTTTTTTAGTATTATCAACAGGAAGCAGACGAAATATTTTTGCATTGATTTTCACAATAACCACAAATTCCCAGAAAAGCTTGACATAAGCCGTCAGTCAAATCGATATCAGTTTGTAAACAAAAGTAACGACTAATAGGAATAAACTAACTCCAATCCAGTCTAAATGGTTCTCCACTCAAAAGCTGGAGAATTACACAAAGTAGGACACTCGGCTGCTCACTCTGTGATCATTCATGTCAGATTCTATGAAGCTTTCAGAAACTTTCTTCATATCCATGAGCACGCGCCGGATGTGGGCGAATTACACATTACGGACTATTAGAGAGTGGAAATACAAAACTGAAGCTATTTCACATTTTTGTGGCTCCATGCAGCATATAAGGATGTGAGAGTGCTTTCGGAAAATAATCTGGCCAGTGCATGGTTTGTGATATCTCCCCTGACGAGGCTTAAAGTAGTTTCGCGGAAGGTTTGTCTTAGATATTAGGACGACCATCATTAGTGAGCAACTTAACGTTGAAAAATCATATCCCTGGATTTTTTTGAGCGTAAATTTATATGGGTGTCGGCCATTTACATCAAAGTTTTAAATGGACAATTTTGATAATCTAAGGCAGAGATTGGCGAACGTTGAAACACTAAACAGACTACCTAAATTATCATATGAACCTCTTATGCGGTGTTCCGAGAAGTTATACGACAATGTTCCTTGATCATATGCCCTTGGCAAATGGTGTCAGTCAAAACTAAGATCAGAATTACTGTCCTACCTTTCAAAAATTTATTGGTTGCGAGAATTTATCTGTACCTAAGTCTTTCTTCAGTACATTACACTGAACGGAAACCAATATGGTACGCAAACCTTTACGTAAATCACTCATTAGCGGCTAAACCAGTTAGAGTGAAAAAAAAGATTTTCAACATAGTCACTTAAGTATACTCCTTGCTTATGTTTGATCTTCCATAATTGGTAACGAAAACTGGTCAGTCGCGATAAGTCAACATTGTGGTTGAAGATGCAACGGATGTTCTAGTTTTACAACTAGCTACCAGCAGCACCTTCTATATTTGATCGTTCCCAGTCAGATAGAAAATCAGAAGTCAAACGAGAAGAGGCAGGAAAGATATATTTGATTCGTTACCAATATATCGAGGATCTTTTCTATGAGCTGGCTAATGAAACGTAGGATCTGTGTCCCACGCCGAGTCGAAACGTGATCTGGTGCGGATGCATGACCGAAAGCCTTCAGCTAAACAAGTCCACTTAAACACGTGGTCAGCATCCAATGTCGAACACTTAATGAACTATTGATTTTGGGGAATTATTTACAGCTACATGGTAATTAAAAGACTGATTTGTCACACATATAAATGTTTATTAAAGTTAAATAAAGTGTAAATTATCCATTAATACATAATCTCTTCCAATTCTTATCGACTGATCATGTGTTTCCGAGAAGTATGTCGGGTAGACGTTGAACTTTCATGAACAATGCTTTTCAAAAAGAAAATACTTACTCCTTATTAAACAAACAAACGTCATAGCAGTCATTCAACTTATGAATCGTGAATGCCATGGAAAAGTTTGCTTACGTACCAACGGTACAGCGATAATGTGTTCTGAATAAAAGCTTGTAGGAACGTCTGTTATCACTTGCGAAGCCATCTGAAAATAAGATAGGCAAGAAATTATTTTAGCATAGATGCCTATCAGAAACTAATAGAAACACATATACCGGTATTTATTTATAGGTCCAAAGTGCATTTAGCTCACCCTTTCTTTGGGGCGCAACCCACGCTCATCGCTCGGGTCGTGCAAGAAAACCTAGCTTGCAACATTCATGGTTTGTGTTATTTCTCTTTCCAGGCAATTTGCAATTCGGAACCATGCACACAGAACCATAAAAAATGCTGTCTCGGTATAGAGATACACTCGCAAAGCATATCTGTTAGACTAATCCACTTAGACTCGTGGCTTACGGTGGAACAATTGAATATACCTGTAGTACTGTAGGGAAAGAGGTCAGTAAGGAAATCCAAAGTGGTAGTAGACTTCTGTTTCTAGAAATTTTGGTTCGTTATTATGGCAGAGACGTAGTACACTTTTGACGGACTTGAGGAGTTCCGGAATCTACACCCGAAAAATTCCAGAATTCCGTTTATCTTCACTACAGTAATATCATTTCCTTTCGACAATATTGTTTTGTCTTACTTCACAGGTGCCTAATATAATCAACCCGTGAACATCAGTTTAAAAATTTTAGTAGACCCAACCAATCAAACGAATGAATTGTGAGTTATCAATTACTTAATTAATAGTCGATAAATCATATTCATCTTATTAAACAAATCAAATTCAAGGGAATTTATGTTCAGCAGTTGGTCAGATTGACCTAGGCTTCATCAGAGAGTATATTTACTTTACAAAAATTAAGAAAGTGAGAAAAATGCAATAAATTTTGCAAACTGACTATCAAAACTTAAAAAAATCTGTTCATTATTTTATTTAATTAGTACGTCGCAGGCGGGTGATCAACTCAAATGAACACTTTATTTTAGAGCGGGCTGTTTATAACTGTTTGCCGTGGTTCTTTGTAGGTTATCACGTATAAATCATCTTGTCTTCAGTTTACTGTCAAAAATTACATTACTGTGGTTTTGGTGAGGAACATTTAACATGTTTTTACCTTCACGGCTTGTACTAGTTATTCCATTTTATTAAACAACTGTTAGAGGAAACCAATATTTCATGACACGTAGTGTCTTGTCTCAAAATTCTTATACTACCACCCTCAGTAATAGGTACTGGCTTTCAGTAAGCGGATATAACTCTGTCATATCGGTGATCCACTGCTACTAGACACGGAAGCCCGTTAAGCGCTACCACGCTTGTTTCATTATCTCATTGTTTTTGTCCATTTACTTTATATATGATGTCATACTAAATTTTTTGAGCTCCAGCTCAGTAAGTCAGTCTGCTACAACGTAGGACCAGACACATATACATCGGTCCTAGTTGTCATACCTCGTTAGCACAACAAACTGATGTCAAATGTTTGAATCTCTCCATTTGTTTTTGGTAGCCGGGTAATACTTCTAGCCTTTAAATAAACTAAGTTTGTAAGCCAAGTACTAAAAAGTATATTTGGTAATGTTGGCGTATCTATTTTCAGAGCAAAATGCACTGCTGGTACCTACATGTATTTCGCTCCCAACAAACTACATGAAATCTGTTTCTCACAAATCTCATGTTATCCAGATTTTCACTGAATCCAACGTAAAAGAATATCAGTGAACTTTATTCAACTTTGTAAGCATCGGGTAAATTATTAAGTAGTGCCTTAGCCTATTAATATTTCCTAATGGACGTATAAATAGTCTCTTAAAGTTTTGTCAACCGTATATGCAAACCCCTCCCAGCTTTACATAGATCGCTGTAGCTGCAGTTACCAAGTTCTGACTTCATTAATGTAGTTAAGGATCAAGTCTTTCTTATCAGATAGGTTCGTTTAACTGAATAATAAAAATCGTTCATTTCTTCTCACTTAGTCGATTATTCCAGTGTTTGCATGCGTTGTATCGCTCAATGTATCTTTCTTAATCATTGAATAAAGTTATTCAGTAACTTTTGAATGGCAAATTGTTCTCTCAGTTAAATTTAAAGGATTTTTTTACTGACCCAATCTACGGTTGACAAACTTCCCACCAATCATGGGAAGAGGAAACATCCTGATGTCATTTGTTGAGGATGTATCTGTTAAAAAATCATTAATTTTCAACTTAAGCTTTGTTGCTTTAGTAGGATCCCAATGCAGAACGTTACGATTTAATTTCTCTAATTTACAATATTCCGAATTATTTATTGACTCAGTTGTAATATTTTTACTCATAGTTAAAAAGATTCATGGGGTTAAACTATATTAATGGGATCATATCCAGTATGTACATGCTCTGCATAACTGGCAAAGTAGCTGCTTAAGTGTTTAACAGTCATCTAACATTCAGTCCATAGATTAGACTTTCAAATAACGAAACTCTTTGTCCGACTTGTCTGTTACTTATCTTCATTTTCAATGTGTTATTAGATATACCATTTAATAATTGAAATTTTTTGAGTTGTTATTTTCCCTGAGACTATGTGATTTTCATCTTCGGTTTATGTCTTGGTTTAGATACTTACAAATGAACTTTTTCAATTGGCTCAGTGGGTGGAAAAAAGATTCCAACGATGATAGTCAGTTAGACTTTTCGTTCCTATTTCCTGCCACCATTGGAGTAGGATCAATCGTCATTTGTCTTGTTGCCCGCTACCGGAATGAGTTATTCGATTTAAAATCGACGGTGTTCCGAAATACAAAGGATGAGAATGTTTCTTCACGTCGTGGCAACTCCTCTTCCAATTTCAAGAAGAAACCAAAACATTCCAACAAGTCTGAATCAAATACTCCTCATATTCGAAAAACGGAGGTTTCACAACCACTTGTAGTCGAGACACTAGCTCCAGTCGTACCAGTCCAACAAAAGGAATACACATCAGTTCAGCCTATTCAAATTAAACAAGAAACAGTTAGCGAGGCAACAGATGGGATTGAGGCTGAGTTTTTTAACCCCATTCCAAAGAAGCAGAAAAAATCTAAACGTTCATCTAAAACGAAAGATACACAAAACCATGGTTTAAGTGAACAAACTGAAATCGATCCAGCATGGGTTACGGTTACTTCAAAAAAGGTTAAACTTTCCAGCCGAAACACTCAGAAGAAGAAGAACGTGGATAGTGAAGGTAAACCGATGTCGAATTTCATACCCTATCTCACTATTATTGTTAATTGCTTATATGATTTAAGAAGGTAGTTTTTATTAATTGATATCATCCAGCCGTTTAGTAAGAATTTGGGAGTTTCAAGCCACCTAGTCTTGTTGCATGTCAATAGATTTACAACTTCGTCCTGTCAAATGTACTCTCGTTTCCATTTTCCATACAGCAAACAAAAAACAGCATTTATGCCGTAACTGATTTTGACCAATTATTGATTAGTCTTGAATATAGTGTTGCCCTCATCTCCAAGGTCATAATTAATTTCAAACTCACATATGTACAAATGTTGTGGTTTTTTAAACCACTACTTGCTAAGTAGGGAAAAACAGCAAAATTATCATGCCCCACTATTGTAAAACCAATTATTTCCATACTATATTTGATGTTCTTCCTGTGAAATCGTTAAAATTCTACTAATGATCTCAAGGACAGTAATAAATAGCATTCTTGCTATTATTGGAAAGTACTATACATAAATCACCATCTTGTGGTAATCAAAGTACCAGAGATCGTTTACTAGTTACTTTCATGGCAGTATCCAACTCACTATCGCATATTATGCACTAATATAAGGTCTTATCCAAAGTTCTTCAGGCTTTACTGAAAGCAAGTGTGAGAAAAATACCTAGTTAAACTCCTAGTTACTAAACTTGCATGTTAAATGTACAAGAAAATGATTTTTGTGGAGTTCTATCCCCCATAGAAGAAAGCTTTTAATTCATTGTGTTTTTACGTAGAATAAAGTTTCTGAGTGCACAATAATGATAATTGTCAAACTGTTTGTTATGTAACTCGATTGGCTTTTACCAACTCGCGTCACTTGTGACATAGGGAGATATCGGTCTTCCAACCAAAAAACGAGTTTACTGCGAAGAATTCTTTTCCGTTCCACTTTATGGACGTGAAACATAGTCAATTAGAATAAAGGATATTCGTAGGTTACTAGTATTCAGTCATAGATCTCTACAAAGCATCGCTTGTATATTTTGGGACCACGCAGTAGCCAATACCTGGGTTAGAAATAGGATACGACGTAAGGATGGCAAATCAATTAGTGAGGTAGTGAACCTTCATCAACTGAGGTGGTCGGAACGAGTTGCATATGCCCAACCACCACCTACCTCGATGGGAGACGTTTCCTAGTGTAGGAGTAAGCTAGAAGAAAACTAGGGGCGACCAAACCAAAACGTGGCATCAGTGTATGAAGTCAATGACACTTGAACTTAGCTATGTTGTTAGGTGTAGATTTTCTGGTTGTGGTCCGCGTGATTGTCATACCCAGTGATTAGAGACTAGGAGTGATATGGCTCAAAATCGTTTGGAATGTGTCAGGTGAATCCGTTCTTTGCCTTCCTTTAGATTTCTGAGCTTCTAAATTCCTCATAACTTTTTCTGTCTTTATTTTACTAATTTATATTTTATTTTCGAGTCTTTTCTTAAATGTTTAATCTTTCTAATTACCAATGATACTGTTTTTATCACTTTTATGGGATTCGCGGGCGTTTTTCAGCAAGTTTCTCTACGCGATGGAGTTGCTGCCCCCATGTTCAGCCGTACTTGTTTACCCGGGCTTGGGGCCGGTAGTAACTCCAGGAGAGTTACAGGCGTACATTCGACAAAGTGATAATAAGTGGTACTATATTCCCTTTCAAGCGCATAATCAAAGCTACATGGGTCTCACCAAATCACACTACAGCGAAACAGACCGGTCATATTTGCATCACTAAAATTTCAGTAGGTTAATGTGTGGCGTAAGAGCCAAGCGAGTTGACATAGCTCTTGAAAAGATGGAAAGTTTTACGTATCTGGACAGTATCATTGATAAACATAATGGATCTGATGCATATGTGAATGCACGGAATTGCACAACAAGGACAGAATTCCTACAATTAAAGAATATCGTGAACTCAAAATAACTATCAGTCAACACCAAAGTTAGAATCTTCGATTCGAATTCCTACACAGTTCTACTGTATGGAGCTAAAACTTGGAGAACTACTACAATCATCATCCAAAATGTACAAGTATTTATAAATAATTGTCTACGCAAGATACTCCATGTCCGTTGGCCCGATAACAACAGCAACAAACTACTGTGGCAAAGAACAAACCAAATACCAGCCTTAGAGGAAATTAGGAAAAGATATTGGAGGTGGATAGAACATACATTACGTAAATCATCAAACTGCATCATTAGCAAGCGCTAACTTGAGATCCTGAAGGGAAGAGGAAAAGAAAATCACAGAATATACTGCTTCGGGAATCGGTAGCAGACTTCAAGAGGATGAATGGCAACTGGAAACAAGTGGAAAGGATTTCCCAGGACAGAGTTCGATGTAGAATACTGGTGGGTGGCCTATACTCATCCGCTAGGGGTAACAGGCGTGAGGAAGTAAGTACTTCTAGGATTTGGCCTGACAAGTTTATTTTTCTGTGCTAATTGGGTATGGCAACTTAAACCGATGTGCATACATACAGGTTCTACGTTTTGACTGATGAACTGACTGTGTAAATGTTTTCTCTTTATTCAACCATTTATTCTTTTTGTTTTGTTCCAGGAGATCAATCAGTGTCGGAAAATCACTCACCCATTTCTGTTGCTGAATCACCGATCCAAAATAAACAAGCAAACAATAAGCAACAAGAGCTATCTACTAGCAATAAATCTAGCTCCTCCATTGTAGAAAATAAGGTTTGTTACTTTAATAAGCTTTCTTACATTCTTTTACACATACTTCGTAGTTTCAAACAATTATTCAGTCAATCGATATATCTTACACTAAAATGACTACAGAATTGTTGACGTTTGATAGAAGTCCTCAAAGTAACTGTCCCCAAGTCACTGAGATACGCACATATTCGGGGAACCTTAAAATATGTATGTTGTGAGTGTAAACTTGTCCCACATTTGGGGTAGGTAGTCTGCTGTTATTGTTCACCATTATAATAAAAATCACAGAGCCTAGTACATAAATGGTCACATGGTTCGTTAGTTTACAAACGTGCTTCATTCTTTTAATGTTATGTCTTTTTACTATGAAAAAAGATAACCTATTGAAATAGATCTCAAAAGCGCGAAACTGTTTCTCCATATGGTCTTATCCAAACACATAATTTCCTCGCCAAGTAATTTTTACCTATTGTGAAAATTAGTTTTCTCAACTGGATACTACACATATCCATTATCCTGTCTACTTTAGTAAATTACAGTACGTTCACTCTATGAAACACTGAATCCTGTTTATGCTAGTTTAAGTTGTAAATATCCTAACATAATAACTTTTATTAAAAAAAGTTAACTTACATGTTATTTATAATTTCCGTGAAAGTTGAGTACCCGTATGATCGTTGTCGTCGTCAGTATGTTAAAACAGTAGTTTGTATATTCGTTTTCCTGGTCTTATTGTTGTGTGAAAATAGATCACATTAAAAAGCACAACCCGCATTTGTGGTCCCATTAATTGGTTTCAATGAATTATTGTACGTTTGATCCATTCCACCGTTTCGTGCATGAAACTTCTTTGTCATTTATCTATCAAACTAATTTTGTTGTGTTAATTCCCAAATTGTTGAGTATAATACTCGAGTAGATTGGCTTATCTGAAGGAACTCCGTGTCAATAACTTAATTGTTTTATAGACATAAATAAAATGAAAAATGACATAAAATAAAATGAAACTGATATCTGTCACATGTTCTATCTTAACATGTAATTGTGACTGATACAGTTCATTATCAGTAGGAAAACAAAGAACTCGCCGTTTCTAAATGTTGAAAGCTAATCAAACAAGCGCTTATAGAAAAAAGTAACCATGCCATAAAATCATTTTAAAAAGAATCGAATTAGTTTCCAGAGTAGATTGTGTGAATTAAGCCGTTTAGCAACGCAACTAATCAAGGGTACAAAATATTAAAAAGATATTATATTAGATATTGTGGGAGGAAAGTGAATAATAACATAATCTTTGATAAGCATCTACGTAGTATAGTGGTGAGGAATTACTTCAACTCTTCGTGATTTATTGGTATTTTTACCACTCAACAAATACTAAGGGTGGGTAAATTTCGCCTTAGTTTTTGGATGCAGCAATTAGATCGCTTAATATTCAACTAAGATATTTCGTTTCTTTTTTTTTCATGGACCCATTTATATACAAGTTTATTTGGTATAGCTAATCTAAACATGTAAGTACTTTATAACTGCTTGTATCACGGGTTACACTTCACTTGATTGCATTTCACACAAAAGCTGCTAATAACAGATGTCTTTAATATCAAATTCTTAATGAATTTAATAACAACATCGTGTCATGTGCAAATGAGTAGTCATGCATTTTTTGTTTAATGTTTTTTGACCTATTAGTCTATGAATTTGGAATTAAACACAGACCAATCATGTCCTACTAAGCGGTCGAAAGCTCCTGCTCAAACTCAATCCACGAAAATTGAACATAATGAGAATACAAAGTTGGGTACCCTAAATTCACATAATTCAACACCTTATGAGGAGTTGTTGTACAAAAATCTTGGTGCTGAAACAGTAACAGCCATCCGATCACTGATTCTGAATAGCGAAACCCATACTTCACGTCCTTCCGAAATCCCTCCATGTGGTGAGGTAAATAAAAAAGTGAGTCAAAGCATTCGTTTAAATCCAGCTTGAAACACATTTGTTAAGAATTTTTGACATATTACAGCTACGTAAAAAGTATTCTTTTTGCTACTAATATAGTTTTCTAAGACTTTGTAAACAATAATTTTCGGTCGAATGGTAAAGTTTTATTCGATTAAAATTAATTATTTGTTCAAAAACCACTAAGTAATCGGTATTAATTCAGCTAATCTCATTTGCTAGTTAATCTATTTTGAAGCACTTTGATGTACAAATGTTTTAAAAATGTAGGAGGATGTGAAAAGGGTTCATCGCATCAATTTATGTTTAATTGCATTCATTATATCGTGTTTTAATAGTAATTCATGTGAAATGGTTTCTAGTATCTTGTTATACTACATTCACTGATACAATGTTATATTCATTGTCGATTTTTCTATTTATACAGAAAATATCGTCTGTGACTCCTGAAAGTACGGATCATCTACCCACAACAAGTGAACTCCTATCGCAACATATGACAGCCCAACTACAAGCGAAAGAAGCTGAATGTCAGGTAATAAAAATACTGCCATATATATATAATCTCCAGATATAGTAAACCCTTATAAACTTATTGTTATAGTGTGTTTATTTTTTGAAATTCAGCATCCACTCTTATAATCAGATGAAATATTGTTGATTATCGACTGGAAGATTTCCGTAAAATAACAGTACCAATGGGAAGTGTATTCCTACGTTAGTTTCTTTCACCTATTGTCCTTTTAAAGTTTAGAAACCCGTATACATCACTGATTTGTAATCAATGTTTTTTAAAATGTGAGTCCCTCGTATTCACCAAGTCTATGTCAACATTCCGTCACTTTTGTAGAAACACTCCTGCTGTCTAATAACAGTAGATAAAACTTTATTATTAGTTATTAGTATAAGCATTTTACATGAAAGCACTTGTACTAATGATTAAGGCTTGGTAATTTTTCCTCGTGTCAATGTGCTATGGAGACTTCAATCAGTGCACATTTGTATCAGTTTCTGTGTTACACATGATTGAATGACTGACTGACTTTGCATAAGGGAGCGTTTTTTCTTACCCTGATCATATCATATTTACTTGTAACTGTACTGATACTGAACAATACAGAGTGATCACAAATATGTTGCAAAACTCAGAACCTATCCAAAATGCATTTCGCTTCTTGGTACTTAGCCCAACTTATTCTTAGCCAGTGAATTTCCGTATGTAAACATGTACTTCGCATAATTTAAATAAATTAAAGAAAATAGTCTACATCCATGTGTAATTTAGAATGACTTAACCTGTCTGTATCGCTTTTGATCCATATTTTGATTCATACTTCACGTGAATATAAGAAAATTATAAGAAAAATTATTTTTGAAAGGCCAGTTATTTTGTTTAACTAGATGAGTTTACATACAGAGGCAATTCTTAATTAATGTTAATGTTCAAAGATATTTCAGATTTCAGTTGTTTTTATGATTACTTGCATCATTTCTTCCAATGTATTGTCTTTCATTAGCCATAATTCACATTCACTCAAACAGGCATAGGATAAAATTAATAAATTCAAAGAATCACTTGTGATTGGTCGGTGGACACGGAAAGTCTTTCTAGGGGAGTTGGAAAACCCTGATTCCGAACCATGGGCTCCAGTATCCTGAGGGAACAAGTGGCGTATGAATCAATTGTTAGTCACCGGCTACCATGGGACTGTATCTCCTCACGATGTTCTACTGCCTTGTGGATCAGACTTTTAGGTCAAAGTCTTGGGGTTTGGCCCCCTATGAAAACCACCTTTTTCAGTTCGGGCACCTAGGCAGTATCACAGCCCTCACACAAATGGAATGAGATTTGTGAGGCGCATATTTATCTGGTGCTTCCTTGTACCAATATTTATGTGTTTAAATAAATAAATAAAAACTTGTGAATAATTTCCACTAATACAGTTTGTTTTTATATTTAGTTTCATTGTTTATTAAGATAACCAGTTATCTGTTGTACACTTGACGGCTATTTAAAATAAACTCCTTTTATTGTAACTACGATTGTGTTGTTTAAGAAGAAATTTAGGGAGAGTACATTTCACGTATCTAGTAGTATTTCATATTTAACTAAACTGATATACACTTTGAATTGAAACTGCTTTGCAGACTTATCGTTATTATTATATTTATTTATTTGTTTCAGGTTTTGCGTACTGAAGTTGTCCATTTAAGAGATGAAGTAAAAATACTGAAAACTCTAGCTGTTAATCGTGTAACTGTCCAAAAGCCCATGACTGATGCTGAAACAATGACTGATCCAATGTAAGTTATGTGTTACTACTCTGTCACTAATAATCATCATGACAATAATAAACTTATTCATTACTATATGTTTATCTACAAATAAATAATTTTCAGCACCAAATAAACAATATTACAATAAATCCCACTTTAACACATTATATATAACTATTAGATATACATATAACTATATTTTTACCAGTGCTTATTTAAAAATTTTAAACCCATTTGGCTTTCTGTATTCATTCAAATTTCAAATGAGTAATTAAGATTTCAAACAAAGATTTTTAGTCTCTCAGAGTGAAACATTTAGTGTTTTAAGGTTAAAGTCATCAAATATAAAAATTGTACTGTTAGTTTCTATTTGAGCGTTTTACTAAAGACCTATTGTTTCAATCCATATGAATACGAAAACATTTCAAAACCCCAATACTTAGCTTAAACATAGTGGATATTAATAAGATCTTAATATTTCTACGTGAAAGTTTCTTGCCTCTCAACGTCAAACTCCGTTTATAAATATCCTTGTTTCCTATTTTCCGCATTGTTAGTGAATCACCGGATATTAAATCCTCGTTTCCTCAACAATCGACTGATTCAGATGCAATTCTACTGTCGACTCTTCAAAATGAAATTGCCCGTTTAGTTAAAGAAGTAGTTATCTATCAACAACGTAGTGAAGTAAGTCGATACTCTTCTGTTTAATATAGTCGGATAATATTAACCATTTTCGAGTAATTTAATTTTGGTTCATTATAACTTACATTAGTCTGTAGATACTGTTTTAGGCTTCACGTTTGTAGCAGATTTTATCTGTATTATAAATTTGTGTTAAACGGTTTAATGAAAGAGTCGTCTATTGTTAAAATCGAAAGGAAATCTGATCGATAGAAGGCATAGAATGAGATAAAGTTGTCAAGTGATGGGTGCTTGTGAAATCGAGTTATTGACGTAAACCGTCGAATGATTTAAAATTAAAAGCAAGAATACTAGCCAGTAGAATATGTTTCTTGTGTGATAAAGTGACATGCCTATGTACAAAAGACTAATGCAAAAAAAATAACATGATAAACTGACGTAGGTAATTGGAAGAAATTAGTTTTTAATTCACTTATTCTCTAGTCGATTAAGGTTTGACTGTTAAACGTGATTTCAATTCACTATATCACTCTATGACTATTTTCATAAAAATTGTACTACACAGTTTTGTTTTCAGCACCGGCTTTTGGTCCGCCTTATTGATAATTATCTTTAATATGTTTCTAGTGTCATAGCACCAACCTTTACACCTTGTTAAAAGCATCTAGCTTAACAAAACCACTAAAACTTCAAATTGATAAGATCAAATGAGGTACTAATTAAAATGTGATAATTTCATTCTTTCCCCTTTTATCTAATTAGTTTTAACTCTCCACAAAACTGTCTTCACAAGCACACAGAGTATTTACGAGATGTTATTATTTTCTATTTGGCCATCATATTGTTATCGAGTAGCAATTTCAAATACTTTTTTAAGGAATCCATTTAGTAACTAACCCCCTGATTTGCACAATAGTATTATTTTCATGAATCGTTTTCTATACGATTAATTCACTTTTTTTAATAGAATTTGAAAAGTCGTCTGGATACAGCCAATAAGAAATTATCCGATTCCAAATCTAAAGCTGCTGATGAAACTAAATTATTACAACAAACTGTAGATACACAATCAGAGAAATTATACAATCTAGAGTCTGAGAATAGTCGGTTAGAAAAAGAGTTAAAAGATGTATTACAGAAAGCTGAAATTCATCATCGAAAATCTGAGGTTTGTCAAATTATGTATATGTCATTATTATAATTCTTGTTGTTTCTATAAATCACTACCAATAACCATGCATATTAATCTATATTCTAGTTTATATGATTAAGACAGTTCAATAGTGTTATGTAATAAATAAAGTGAAAATTCGATTAGATGCTGAGTGTCAGTGTACAAGTGGTATTATAGAGTGGATCGATGTTTAAGGGTTTCTTGGTCTTGACACTATTGGTTATGTTTCGACTACGTTTATTACTATCCAATGCCAAATCATCTTGGCAATCATTATTATCATAGTTTAGTAGTCAATAGGAATTTATCATATATTTATCTACATGCTTATGCGTGATTATTATACTTTTAATGCACGTTATTATAGGTCAAGGACATTTTTAAATGTGAAAGTTTCATGTATTCATTTACATCAAATATTGTTGACTCATCTAAATCATACGAATATGACTACTTAATAATTGATCAAAAGTTGCTTGCTTTCTAAGCTGATACTGTGTAACGTAAATTTGTAACTAATACAATCTATCTAATGTTTGTCTACCGTGGAGATTTCGAATTTATCATATGTCTATATGTTTAACGCTCATAATAATCTAATTCTATAATCAATTACAATCAACTTAATTATCTCATATGACATTATTGTGTAGCTTTAGATTTGTAGACTTTATGACCTAACTAGTATTTAAGATTATCAAATGATTATTGATAATAAAACGTTTCTTGTTTATATATTCCAGTTCTTTAAATAAACATCGTATGTAGGCTATTCTACTTTACTGTTTGTTCTACTGACCTTTGTAACCTATCGAATAATAGTACCATGTTCTCGATTATTATCATAGAAACTACAAGTTCAATGACAGTTGTAACCTTGTTATCGTATGGTTTTAAATGTGGTAGATATTATACGTTTTGCATTAACATTAAGGGTTTCATATGGATACAATAATTCATTTATACACATATCAAGTATCATTTCGTCCATGAATTAACATTAGTAATAATGATAAATAAACATTCTGATTTCTAGTGACAATAACTTATTCGTCAACGTATGTGGAGCTTAAAATAAGGACATAGATCTTGAAAAATAGTAACATACATAAGATTACTCTACATCTATTTTCATTGACAATGACATTATCGTCGGATAAATTTGGGATCTTGTAAAGTAAAGTAATTTATAATTTATTTATTTATTTAAACACATAAATATTGGTAAAAGGAAGCACCAGATACATATGCGCCATACAAATCTCATTCGATTTGTGTGAGGGCTGTGATACTGCCTAGGTGCCGGAACTGAAAAAGGTGGTTTTCTTAGGGGCCCACACCCGGAGCCTTTGACCGAAAGGTCTGATCCACAAGGCAGTGGAGCATCGTGAGGAGATACAGTTCCATGGTAGCCGGTGATCAACGATTGATTCATACGCCATGTGTTCCTTCAGGATACTGGAGCCCATTTACACGATTGGTTTGGAATCAGGGTTTTCCAACTCCCCTAAGTGGACTTACAGTGTCCACCAACCCGGTTAAAGCGCCGAACATTTGCTTTTCGTCGTCTCAATTTCGTAAACAACAGTAATGCCACGAGAATGCAGTGAGTAGGACTTTGCTGGCGGAGGCTATATTACGCGTAGCCATTTGAGCGTATTTCGAGAGGGAGAGCGGACTCTCCCCACTCTCGGTCATACCAGGGCATTTGGGGGCCGTATAAAGAGATATGAATAAAGTCAACTGCTTATTTAACGAAGATTTCAGTGTTGGCTTGTGTCATATATCTTAAGCTTATCGACTTACAAAATTATCACTTGAAAAATATACTGAATAAATATTTACACCATTTCTTTTTTGAGTATTGTCAGTAACTGTATAAGTAATTTGATTCCAGCTCTCATAGTTAATAGGTGTAACACAAGATATACATATGTATTCCTAAGTGATGAAATATTTGGTGATTTTGTTATATTTACTTATGTTAATTTGCTGATGCGATCTAGAAATTTATTCAATGAGGCTGTAACACATGCATATCGTCATATAATCACACTCAAGGACATATAAATATTTTATAATCTGACCTTCTAAACTTCTCATTTGTTGTAGGAGGCTGACCACTTACTCACACAGCGTTTGGAGGAATTAGAAGTACTCCGACTAGATAACTCATCTTTCAGGAGCAAATGTGAAGTGAGTTTATGATATATATATATTGTGTAGGAAGTTAAATAATATCCATTCTTTCGAACAGGATAGGTCTTTAATCAGTTTGTAGGATATTATTTATTTATTTAAACACATATATATTGGTACAAAAGGGCACCAGGTACATATGCGCCACACAAAATAATGAAAGTAGGAAGAGAAGGGATGAAAAGATAAGGCGGACTAAAATGTACAACCAGAAGACTCTTTCAAATAGGAAAGTAAGAACCATTCTTTATGTAGAACGTAAAAGAAGGTTGCAGCAGGATCGCCACTGGCTTCTATTCTGAGCCATATCTGATAACGTCTCTAGCCACTGTGTTGCACCATCTCTCGGACCCCAACCAAGGAGTCGTGAAGGACCAACAGAAGCTAGCCCTTTGCAGCTCTCTTTCATGCCACGACACCATGTCATACACTGACCTCCTCTCCGCCTTTTCCAACCAGTCCCAGGGTCGGCAAATAATGCACGACGTGGAAGTCTCTGGGACGACATTCGTAAAACATGTCCAAGCCACCGAAGTCGGTGTTTCAAGATGGTGACACCAATTGAATTATCGTCTCTGCGCCCGAACACACGATGCCGAACCTCTGCATTACTAACATGGCGTTGCCACTGGATGTCAGCAATCCTTCGGAGACAACGATGATCGAACACAGAGAGACGTCTAACATCCTCAACTCGGAGAGGCCAAGTTTCACAAGCATAAAGCAAAACTGCTCTCACCGACGCGTTGTAGATCCGACCTTTTACAGCCAGACTAACATCACGAAGGCGCCAAAGATGGCCCAGATTGGCATAAGCCGCTATGGCTTTCCTTATACGTGCATCAATCTCATCACTCACGCCACCACCAGCACTTATATAGCTACCTAGATACACGAACTTCTCAACTACTTCGATCTGCTCACCATCCAGGGTGAGTACAGGATTAGAATCCTGCCAGTCTTGTAGGAGTACTTTGCACTTGGAGGGTGCAAAGCACATGCCGTACCTGCGGACACTGATTGCCAACTGATTAAGTGCTGATTGCATGCCTTGGGCATTATCGCACAGTGAGACAATATCATCCGCATACTCAGGGTCGAGAAGTCGTTCTCCAGGCAACATATCCACACCGCCATTACTTACATCCACCAGAGCTGTTTCCAGGATGTCGTCGATGGCAAAGTTGAAGAGGAATGGTGAGATCGGGCAACCCTGCCTAACCCCACTGCTCGAATGAAACAAGGGAGAAAGGTGGTTGTATGCCCTCACTCTGCCTGAGGTGTTCGTGTACAGGGCCTTTAAGATGTTAATGAACTTCTCAGGCACACCCTTCTTCAATAGACAATCCCAGAGAACAGTCCTGTCCAACGAATCGAAGGCCGCCCTGATATCAAGAAACACTACGATTGTTGGCCTGCGATAAGTATGACGGTGTTCTAACATTTGGCGGAGGGTGAAGATGTGATCAATGCATCCTCGACCAGAACGAAAACCAGCCTGCTCCTCACGAGTCAATCGTTCTCGGGTTTTAAACAACCTATGAAGAATGATAGAAGCCAATAATTTGGACGCAATCGAAAGTAGACTTATCCCCCGATAGTTATTGCAAGAACAACGTGAACCCTTTTTAAAGATAGGGACGACTATCGACTCATTCCATGATGTTGGAACACTTTCTTGTTCCCAAACCTTTCCAAACAACACAGTCAATTCCTTAGTCAGAATGTCACCACCATCTTTAAAAAGAGCCGGAGGTAAGTCATCTGGGCCCGGTGATTTGTAACGTTTCAACAGTTGGAGTTCCTTGCGGACTTCCGCCTCGTTTGGCGGATCAGTCGTCACCGGCCATGGGGGGCAGGACAAGCTGGTTGATGTTGCCGGAGCAGCAGGCCAGTTGAACTGCCCTTCGAAGAATTCCGCCCATCGTCCAAGACGTCGAGAGATGTTAGTGATTGGCATCCCGTCATTCTCGTAGATTGTTTCACTCACACCAGACTTCTTGCTGCCAGTGGCTCGGATGAGTTGGAAGAGCTTCCGGCAGTTACCAGATGCAGCTGCTGCTTCCATCTCATTAGCACGCTCCGACCACCAGGCTTCTCGGTCCTTACGCAAGCTTTGCCCAATTTCATTACGTAACAGCCTTCGTTTGTGGTCAAACTCACGGTCACCCGGAGTAGACCGACGGGCTTCCATCAGTTGTAAGGAGCCAGAAGAAACCCAGTGCTTGTAAGCGGGACGTTTCGCGAAGCCGCAAGCGGCTTTACTCGCCATTTTCATGGCGTCGTGAAGAAGCAACCAATGCTCATCTATACTTTTCGGTGGGGTGTTAGCTAGCCTAGAGGCTAGCTCCGCTCGATACTTACTTGCAACAGGAGTTGCAGCCAGTTTACTAATATCAATCCGTTGGTGGTGGTCAATCCTTCGGCCACTGAAAAGTAAGGTGAGATTGGCGCAGACCAGGGCATGATCAGACTCCAGATAGGTACTCCAAAAGGAGCGGCAGTCTTGTACACAACCACGCCAGCGGTAGCTGATCGCGATGTGATCAATCTGAGTCCAGGCTTGGGATGCAGAGGGAGGACGCCAGGTGGCACACCGGCGATGACTGTGCCGGAAGTTAGTGCTGGCCAGAAACAGGTTGTGGTCTGTGCACAGTCGCAGCAAACGGTCCCCGTTATCTGTCCTGCGACCAACAAGTCCCCATCGGCCACCTAAACGACTCTCTTCTATGCCTAGACGCCCGACCTGTGCATTCAAGTCTCCGGCTAGTACTACAATATCTGTCGAACGCGCTTTCTGAAGAAGAACTGTTAACTGACGGTAAAACTCATCCTTGATTGCATCCGGGCTGCAATCTGTCGGGGCATAGGCGGAGATAACAAAAAGACACCGTTTCTCAAGCCGGTTTCTTCTCACTTTGATGGAACTTTCTAATCTAACAGCACATAACCGACTGTTAATGGGGATCCAATCGATTAGTGCTGCCTCAGCCCTAGCGCTTAGTGCGACACCAACGCCAGCAAGACCAGACGAAGATGCCACAGGGTCCCCGGATAAGCGCACGTGGAACAAGCTCTTCGAGGCGACAGATGGAGAGCGGATTTGTAGTACTTCACTAGAGTCTTGAATACGGGTCTCGGATAGACAGCAAACATCAACATTAAGACCTTCCAAAGACATAGCCAGACCTATCTGTTGTCTGATCTGCATTAGTGTGCGAACGTTGAATGAAGCCAGCTTGAACGGCGTACTTGGTTTCAGAAAGACTGCTTCAGTATTCATAATCGGTGGAAGCATTCACTTTCAACCAGACAGTGACTTTAGATCGTTTAGATAGGACAGATTTTCCACCATGGGCGAGCTGCTGCATAAGTTGAAAAGTAAGGTTACACAAATTGGGGATAAAAGGGGGTGAGTTAGCGATATGGTAAATAATAATAATAATAATAATAAAGGTAATAATAATAATAATGTAAATTGTCTTGCTTCTAGTATGAGCAGGAATAGTATCGTCAATAGAATTCATCATTTCATTTGTGTGCGGGCTGTGATACTGCCCGGGTGCCCAAACCGAAGCAGGTGGTTTTCTTAGGGGACCACACCCCGAGCCTTTGACCTAAAGGTCTGATCCACAAGGCAGTGGAGCATCGTGAGGAGATGCAGTCCCATGGTAGCCGTTGACCAATGACAGGTTCTTCCGCCATTCGTTCCATCAGGATACTGGAACCCATGTGCACCAATGGTTTGGAATCAGGGTTTTCCAACTCCCCTAGGTGGACCCTCCGTGTCCACCAATCCGGTTATAGCGCCGGACATTCGCTTTTCGTCCTCTCACTTTCGTAAACAACACCCCCGCCACGAGAAGGCAGTGAGTAGGACTTTCCTGGCAGAGGCTATATATTCGCTGGCCATATGAGAGCATTTCGAGAGGGAGAGTAGACTCTCCCCACTCTCGGCCGTACCAGTGCATTTGGGGGCAGTTTGTAGGATAACTTCAGTGTGAGCAATTTCATCATCGTTTTGTAGAATTAAAGAATACGTCACCGGGTGTAAATGAGGAGTAATTATTGGTTTAAACATGTTGATGACATCTCAAGGTTTAACAACAGATATTATTGTGTATTGAAAAATGTAGCTTTTAAAATGTCTCAGCTGGATGGTATTAAACATATCGCAATATACATTTTGCTCCATTTATGGAACAACAAGTCATGAGTTTGTTGGAAGTTTCATTCTATTAATCTTAAATAAACGTCTCATCTGATAATTCATTTGCAAATTCATTTGACGAATACTTAATTAGAGAGAACCAACAGCCAAATCTTATAATGTAAATCAGGTTTTATCGAAATCCTCGTTTCTCTATTTATCGAATGCTTGTATAAGGTTGCCTTTTAAACCTAAAAAGTATTATATTCACTGTTTTCGAACTTCAGGCATTAGAAAATGGAAACTCTGCTCTTCGAGAAGAGAAAGACATTCTAACACGCAAATTCGACGAATTAAGCAATAAACATTCCGTAAGTTTTGCTGATCATCATATATTATCGTTACTATTCGTCTAATTATCTGTGATCGTAGGCGTTTTATGATTAAAATATGGTAGTTGGTCTCATAAAACGATTCATCTATCATTTCTTGTTATTATAAGTCCATTTCACTTTTTCTTATCAAGAAATTCGGAAATACTGAAATATAATCTTTCTATTTATTATATATATTCAATGAAGATAAACTTTAAAATAGAAGAAATCAGTTTCTAATCACTGATCTTTAAGTTGAATTTATCAATTCTTCACGTAGAAGTTCTGTAGCAGTTTTGTTAACTCAAATAGGATTGACCCACAGTTCACTGAATGATCATTTGTGTTGCGTTTAACTACATAATATTATTGTGCTTAATATTATCGTATGAAATATATAATTTGTGGGTAGCAATGGAATCCTAGATGCTAGTTTCGCCCTACTTGGGGCTCATCAGTAGGTTGAACCTGCTTCCTTATGTTTATGTTCACGTTAAGACTCTAACCCAGTATCTTCCACTTCAAACATCAACGTTTTATTCCTGGTGAAAATGACTGACAAAATTACTCTTCAAATAACTAACAGTTGCTCACATTTGTATGTAGTTTAACAATTGATTTCCAAATCTCGCATTCAGGACACGAATGCATCGCATTCAAGATTAGTTTGCTCATATGCTATATCTCCTAATAGGCACATTTACGTCTTACCAACATCTATAGAATATAGAAAGCTGCAACTTTATTTTTAAAAGTATGGTTTCGTTGTTTTTTGACTTCTCTCTGTGTCTGTGACTGCTTCCAAAATATTTTGAGTGGAATTTTACCCACTTCGGAAAAATGTATTCCAAGGTCGAAAGTTATTTACAATTGTTTTGTCAGAAATGTAGTTTTCACAATATAGCACTAAACTACTAACAATTATTCTTTGGTGTTTTTTGTGTATACTTCTAATCATTACATCGTTTTTCTGTATTTTAATAAATCAATGCATGCAAAGTGAATACTATTTCAGAAAGTAACAAGTTACAAGTTTCGATTTTTCCCCTTTCGTCCGTTTTGAATTTTATCTGCACGAACTACTTTTAAGTCTTGCTGATAATGTTAGTGGACCAATTTATTCTTTTTAAATCATATATGAAACTTTCACTAATACTCCTGGACTAAACGATGGGTTTTGTCATATAGTTGCCTCAAATTTGCACAAGTTTTCAGCTCGTTCACAAAACTCTTAAGTGTATGTAATAAGGTGATCGAATTTAAAACATCCAGATCTTATCTCTATTTCTCGTACCAACAATAACAAAGGATCGACGAGATATAATAGTATTTATTGTATATGATTCTTTAGGTTATCATAAGATTTCCCTTTGCAGCTAAGTTATTCTTATTTTCTGCGTCTATATTTGTATTTCCATTGACCTACGTTGCTTGATTATTATTGTTATGCTTGCTTTTAACAGAGTGTTCTGTCCGAATTGACTGCATCTCAATCACAATGTAACGTACTTCGTAGACAAATGACTGGATATGATGATCGTCTACGTCAAATAAATGATCAACATCAAATTGTTGTAGATGATATGAAGAATCAGTTAACATCATTATTATGCAACCATGAAACAAAGGAAAAATCACATATCAATATGATAAATACATTAGAAGCTAAACTAGAACAGTTAACTAATGAAAATAATGAATTAAATAAGTTACTTAAACTATGTGAAAGTGAATTAGAACATTTACGTACTGCTCAAAAAGTTACAGTAATTCGAAGAACTAATGAAGATAAATTTATGCAAACTGTCGATGATATTCAGAAGTAATCATATTTTTAATTTTACATTTTATATATATATGTAAATTCCTATTTATTTATTTAAACACATAAATATTAGTATAAGGAAGCACCAGATACATATGCGCCATACAAATCTCATTCGATTTGCTTGAGGGCTGTGATACTGCCCAGGTGCCCAAACTGAAAAAGGTGGTTTTCTCAGATGGCCACACCCGGAGTCTTTGACCTAAAGGTAGTAGAACATCGTGAGGAGATACAGTCCCATGGTAGCCGGTGATCAACGATTGATTCGTACGCCATTTGTTCCTTCAGGATACTGGAGCCCATTTACACGATTGGTTTGGAATCAGGGTTTTCCAACTCCCCTAAGTGGACTTACAGTGTCCACCAGCCCGGTTAAAGCGCCGAACATTCGCTTTTCGTCGTCTCAATTTCGTAAACAACAGTAATGCCACGAGAATGCAGTGAGTAGGACTTTGCTGGCGGAGGCTATATTACGCGTAGCCATTTGAGCGTATTTCGAGAGGGAGAGCGGACTCTCCCCACTCTCGGTCATACCAGAGCATTTGGGGGCAACCTTCCGTTTGAGTTATGTTGTTACATACTTCATAATAAATCGAGAGTTAACTAAAAGAGAAAAAATAACATGAGTAGAACATAAAATTAATATCATTTTAATTATGCGGTTTATTGTGAGTGAATTGATACTTCGGACGATAGTTAATTATAAACGAGTTATTTACACAAATAGATTGAATCAATTTACTTCCCTCTCTTAGTTTCTTTTATTTTAATGTATTATTTATTTTTCGTATTTAGATTCGATTATAAAATTAAATTCTACAAAGTGGTTTTATCGAATGAATTATCCCAACAGATTAGTTCTTTATTCTCCTTAAGTGTCAGCTAGTTTAAACATGAGTTGTATATTGCGATTTGTATGGTCTTTAGTTCTATGTTCAATCGAAAAGGTGTATTCGAATTTTTGTATGTTTTATATTAGTTTACTAGTCTATTTAAATACTGAAAATACTGGTACCATCATACCTATGTAAACGTGTTTACAATAAATATGCATAAAAGATTAAACTAAAGTAATATTAAAGTGATATAATCAATAAACATTCTTTCTATGGTTTGTCCTCACGTTTACACACAATTTCGGTATGCTTATCTCTTCACTTTGTGTAAGAATCACATGTTTTATTTTCGCCCACACGACTTCTGTAAGTAATTTGTGCCAATGAACAGCAAGAGTGAAATATTTATCTCACTCAGTTCTTTAGGTGATAGTTAGTTACAGATATGCCTTCTTGGGCATCAAATGTTTTGTTAATTATGACCAGTGGCGTTCAATCCGTTTCGGGCGTGAATCGGTTATCCAACTCATGTAATGGATAAGGGTTGCGCAATATTGTGAATTGGTTGGAGTTAGACATTAATACTGTTGGGTGCTGACTCAATAGTCTAGAGGTTAAGCGTTCGTACGCGAGACAAAAGGTCCTATGTTCGATTACCACGTGCAGGATCTTGAATACGTACTGTTAAAGAGTCACTTACTAGTACGAGACAACTGCCCACTGTTTTTAAGTTTTCGGTTGTAGTCTACCTAAAATCGATTCGTGATTTAAACGCCGAATATTAATGATCTTTCAAAACAGTTCTTTCAAAATTCATAATTTTTTGACATGCTTTGATCTATCTGATTTTTGTACATCAATCGTAGAGAAATTATTGTCTACGCCAGTTTAACATAACTTACCGTAGTAATTATACTGTACTTTTATTATCTCAGTTATGAATGTTTTGTCTTAGCCTTTTTAAAATTAAGTTTTTTTAATTTTTTTATTTAAACACATAAATATTGGTACAAGAAAGCACCAGTTAAATATGCGCCTCACAAATCTCATTCCATTTGTGTGAGGGCTGTGATACTGCCCAGGTGCCCAGACTGAAGCAGGTGGTTTTCTTAGGGGGCCACAACCGGAGCCTTTGACCTAAAGGTCTAATCCACAAGGCAGTGGAGCATCATGAGGAGATACAGTCCCATGGTAGCCGGTGACCAGCCGTTGGTTCATACACCATTCGTTCCTTCAGGATACTGGAGCCCATGTGCACCATTGGTTTGGAATCAGGGTTTTCCAATTCCCCTAGGTGGATCCTCCACACCCACCAACCCGGACATTCGCTTTTCGTCCTCTCACTTTTGTGAACAACACCCCCGCCACGAGAATGCAGTGAGTAGGACTTCCCTGGCAGAGTCTATATATTCTCTGGCCATATGAGAGCATTTCGAGAAGGAGAGCAGACTCTCCCCACTCTCGGCCGTACCAGAGCATTTGGGGGCGAAAAAAATAAAGTTTTACAAACTGATGTATTTTTCACATTGAAGTGTTGATTGTTATGTTAAAAGAATAATTAACTGACAGTATTATTATGATTAATATATTTGAGATGAGAAATATTACTCAACAAATATAAGATGTTCTGCTAGTTCCAAGATACTCTTTCCGTCTACCTTGATCATAATAACCTGAGATAATCTACGATATACTGTTAAGTAATAGTTGAGTACTGAATTCTCAACGTACGGTTTCACACAATTAATTTATTTGGATTTCTAGTTTGTTTCGATTGCTTGTAACTTAATTTTGAGCGTTGATTGCTTTTTATGTTTTGAATGGAAAACGAAATTCCATACATCTGATAGGCTTTTCCATAATGTCTGTTTTAATAAACTTGAAATTATTTTTCCTTTTGATATCCGTGTTTTTTGACATTTAAGCACATTCGCCTTTTGTTTATGATAGGTTTTTGTGGAAGTTTACTTAACTTGGTGTCAGTTTTTTTTGCCATCAATTGTTTGATGAAAGCATTCTGTGCCTATGTCAAGGCATCTTAATCATCATCAACATTCAGTCTCACAATCAAACTCACCTTCAACTATGATGGTGCTCGAGACATGTGTTAAATGTACTGAACCACGGGTGGGGTTGTTGTTATGTAGTGTAAAAAATAGTTTATAAAAAGGTAGTGATCACTAAACTATGACGTATCACTAGTCATCATTTTTTGCTCGATGCACACTACCTGGCTATTGTCCGTGTAATAAACTTAGTCAATAGATCGAGATATTTTATCAGTTTCAGTCATAGTGGCAAAAGTGTATTCGCTTTTTATGTTGCTCTGGATCGTAATTTCCAGCATACCTTCTTACTTTTTCACTATATATTCTCATTATCAACTGGCCTTCAGCCACACTTCAATTACCCACGATCCCCAGTCGTCCTGAATGGCAAATTGATGTAAATCCTCCAACCCTCTGTGAGGTTGAAAAAGCTATAGGAAATCTGAAGCGAGGGAGAGCAGCAGGCCCTGACAGGTTGACCCCTGAGATTTTTAAGGATGGTGGTCCAGTACTAGCAGTGAGATTGACTGAGGTCTTAGGTAGAATCTGGGAACTGGACGTAATTCCATCTGACTGGTCCCAATCACTGATTGTGCCAGTCTATAAGAAAGGACAAAAGTCCTCCTGTGACAATCACAGAGGGATCAGTTTGACTAATATAGTGTCTAAAATATTAGCTTCAATAATACTAGGTCGCCTAACCAAAGCTCGTGAAGAGCAGACTAGAGAAAACCAAGCTGGTTTTCGACCTGGACGTGGTTGCATAGACCAGATATTCACCCTACATCAGGTTCTAGAACATAGACACAAATTCAGACGTCCCACAATAGTAGTATTTCTTGACCTTAAGGCGGCATTTGACTCCGTTGATCGTGAGGTTCTATGGCAATGTTTGTCACTGAAAGGAGTACCAAAGAAGTACATTAACCTCATAAAGGCTCTCTACTGGAACACAACTGGCCGAGTTAGAGCCTATGGCGAACTATCATCAGAACTGATTACCACAAGTGGCGTTCGTCAGGGCTGTCCACTCTCCCCATTCTTGTTTAACTTTGTCATTGACATACTTTTAGAGATAGCACTTTCATCAGCTAAACCTCCAGGAGTTGAACTTTTACCAGGAGACTCACTTGTTGACTTAGAATACGCCGACGACATAGTTTTACTCGGTGAAGACGCTGACAACATGCAGAGTCTTCTGACCACTATAAGCAACTATGCAGGCATGTTCGGAATGCGATTCTCTCCCTCGAAGTGCAAAATGTTACTTCAGGATTGGGTTGCATCGACACCTGAACTAACGATAGAGAGTGAAGTAGTTGAGCGTGTAGACCACTTCACTTATCTTGGGAGTCTCATCAGCCCTTGTGGTCTGGTATGTGACGAAATCTCAGCACGGATACAGAAGGCTCGTCTAGCTTTCGCCAACTTGCGTCATTTATGGCGTAGGCGAGATATCCGTCTAGCAACCAAAGGACGGGTTTACTGTGCAGCAGTTCGTTCCGTCCTACTCTATGGAAGTGAAACATGGCCAATAAGAGTAGAGGATATTCGTAGGCTACTAGTGTTCGATCATAGGTGTCTTCGAAGCATTGCTCGTATATCCTGGGACCACCGGGTAAGTAATGCAGTTGTTAGGAAACGAGTACTAGGTAGGGATGGCAAATCGATTGATGAAGTAGTGAAACTTCATCAGTTGAGATGGCTGGGACATGTGTTACGTATGCCCGACCACCGACTGCCCCGACGTGCAATGTTTCATGGTGTAGGAGTAGGTTGGAAGAAAGCTATGGGCGGCCAGACCAAGACGTGGCAGAAATCAATGAAGTCACTGACAAGTGGACTGGGCCATGTTGGTAGGTGTAGACTACCTGGTTGGGATTCGCGAGATGACAGCAACCGATGGTTAGAGACCTTGAATGACATGGCTCAAAATCGTTTGCAATGGCGAAGATGCATCCACTCTTTGTGTTCTACCAAATTCTAATCTTCTGAATTCCTCGTGTCTTTATGTTTTTCTCTTTCCAAATTTATTTCACTGTACTATACTCCTTCAATAATTTCTTCAAACCCTAATCTTTTGGATTTCTGATTATACTCCTACTACTTCTACCACTATGGGATTTGAATCGACAACTGCATCTCTGTGCTAATGTGGTATGGCAACTCGAACTGATGTACGTACGTACGAAGTTCTACGTTGTGACTGACTGACTGACTGATTATCATCGCTACTTCATTGTTTAACTCCTTTACAATTTATTTTGCTAATTTCATCTCATCGGGCTAATATAATATGGCTAATTGGGGTAACATTTATTTTCACCAGGTTCTATGTTAAGGGAGACTCATTGATTGAGGTTTAATAATAGTACGACCACTATTTTGCATTAATTAACAGTCTATTGGTGTTGTATTTATTTGCATCTTTACTTGCGTTCTATATAACTGTAATAATGACAATACTAAAATCAAAATTCACGTACTGAAAGGACTTTTGGTATTTACCCTTATTATTCATTGCAGTACTAAATAAGTATCATCAGTTTAAAAAAAATTAATTTTCAACTTTTCAATCTATCTCATTGAAGGCATATCTTCTCTGAGTTACTCTTCTCAAATATTTACACCTGATAATGTAACCGTCTTATATTCATCTTTAAAATCCAAGTTAAAGTGGTGCTGTTGAGAAAAAAAAAGAATAGCACTAATAAATGTATAAAGCATACATATATTGTATCCTTTATACATGTATATTAAATATCTTTCTTTGGATCAATGCACTTACAACCGATATAATCGATTTGTACTAAAATAGTAGAAAAAAACTCCCTCGTAAACTAGTTATAGAAATGTGCTTGAAAACGAGAAAAACCAAATTGATCTCCGTTTCATCATTTGATAGATGTGCATATTTTTAAATAAATTTAAAAGTTTACCGAATCAAGTTCTCTAGAGAATGTAACAATATATATATCTATATAAATAATTTTGTATCATGTATAATATACTCCTATGTGTAAATTTAGTTAGTACTTGAATAGCTAAAAAGTAAATAATAACTGATCTGTTTTTGAACGTGAATCACTTCATGGCATTCATCATAGTCTCTTATTACACATTGCTGATTTACAGGAAAATGTTTTCAGTCGTGAACTACTTAGAAATTAGTCGTTGGCAAATATATGTATTTCATTCTCAAAACAATTATGGGTGAAAAAAACTATATGAATGAGTTTTTAGTCGAACAGTTTTTATATTCACCAGATATTGTTTTATTGAGCATTAGTACCTTCTAACTTATTCATTCGATATATGAAATTACTTTACAAACATTGTCCTTGTAGCTAGTCTGTGTTCTCTAGAAATATTGAATATAAGTTAGCTATCAGTATATGCTTGTAGAGGTTATCGAGTTTCATGGGAATGAGCCCATCAATGTTAAACCACCATTGAAAACCTGTAGGCACTGGACAGTCATTAGATCCTAGTATGAGTGCTTGCAGTGCACACCTACAACTCCACACATCGATGCCGAATTATTCTGTTATAAAATTTCCCAAACGTAATCAATGTATTTTGTTATAGATATCGGTTTCAGATCGCTTTTCTTGGATAGAATCTGATTGTTCTAAGGGGGGGGATTCTTTTCGTTCTCTGCTATCTACTAGTATTTCTGGTTACATTTCTTGCGAATCACTCTCACTATTATTTTTTCTCCAGTAGTGATTCTTCTCAAATCGATGATAGCAAATCAAGCAGCATTAATCATGAAACCATTGTTCAAATGAATGATCATACAGACCAGACAGAATCGGATCAATTTATTATTGAGTCTGGTGAATACAAATTACTACAAAACCAAATTGATCATTACAAATCAGCATTGGATGCCACTGAATCAATGCTATCTAAATTACAAACTTCCGTGGATGAAGAAGAAGCACGTTGGCACAAAGCATTGGATGCTGCAAATATTGAAAATGAATTGGTAAACGAATATTTTTAACAATTGTTTACTTTATTTTAATGAAATTACATTTTTCTAATGTATCTGTAGAAATAGGAAATCGCTTTCTATTCTTTTTGTGACAATAGTGTGTTGTAATCAGTTTTAAACTTTTTTGTGTCCGATCCCTTTATTGCTTATAGTTTCCATTCTTCATATTTTTGTAATATGTGATATTGTGAATTGGTAGAAGTTAGACTTTAACACCGTTGGATGCCAGCTTAGGAATGTAGAGGTTAAGTGTTCGCTCTCGAGATAGAAGGTCCAGAGTTCGAGTTCTGTGTGTGGGATTGTGGATACACACTGCTAAGGAGTTCCATACTTGGACAAACCGGCTGTTCAGTGCTTCCAGGTTTTCGATGTTGGTCTAACATTCATCGACCGATGGTCTCAATGAAATATGTGATATGTTAATGAAATTACATACTGCAATATAATTCATTTCTCAAATATGAAATCTAATATTTGACTTTAAACTAAAGTTTTTATGTTTAGATAGAGCGATAACTGAATGGTGAAGGCTTTCGACTGTCAGCCATTAATTCACCAATTTAAATAATTTGGTCAACTGTGAATCATCGTTAGCATGTGATTCAACGCCAAGCATACAAATGTGTACGTGGTAAATGAGTTTATCTTAGGAATAGTTATATTTCCGAGTTGTTTGAACCGAACTAGTTGAAAGACGATTAAAATCGGTAGTCTGCTAGCAGTTCAAAGCCTTGTATATGTATGTATATTTATCTATTTATGCTTAGATCATATTTTAAAGGCTCTTAGAAAATGTTACATGATAAAACAACATTGTTCTTTTCAAGTGGATACATGAGTTGAGTAATTAAGTGAACTTTTAACTTTAAAGGTTTTAGTACATATACATTTGATCAAAGATTAAAGTGACTATTCAATAGTTTCGTTTTATAAGTGTTGTTTATTTCAAAATAATATGTCTTTATTTATCATAATATTATTTAGTTGTTTGATTAATCTCATAATCCTTTTTAGCGAGAATGCAGAAACTTTAATCAGCAAGACCTTTTCTCGTATAAATTATTTATCACAGCATTAATTTAATTTAATTGATTTTGCAGAAACTTGTTTTGCTTGTAGGTTATATTAATTACAAATGATCTTCGCTTCGGTAACACCAAAGACCGGGTAGCATTAAATATCTGTTGGATTCTATTTGTAAACTCCTCCGCATCATGCACCACAACTACACTAGCTATTAAACTCAAGACCTTCAGGTTTCACTTAAAACTCTTAACTTGGGCATATTGAAGGTGAAACAGTTGTTACTAGTGTTCCATTATGTGATCATCGCGTTATATCACTATTTAATTGAAGTGAAAATTGTATCATTGAACTCTGAGCCGGCGGTTTTAGTGGTTAATCATTGACGTTGTATGGATTCGTTAAATGAGATATTTATTGAATAACCTTCAAGATATATCTCTTATAGAAGTTTCTCAGTTTAATTTGATTGAATCGTAAATTTTCTGGAGCAGTCATCTTACAGTCTTAGGGAAAATCAAGTATTAAATTATGATTGTTACACAATTATATGAATTTAACTTATCAAATTATCAAATTATTTCCATGAGTATGTTAATGAATTAACTAAGCTTTTTGTTTATGTTCCAGTTAAAAACGAAATCAATCAAACTCGAAGCTGCTTTGAATGAATTAATAGAAGATCGTAATACTTTGACAATGACTATTGAAGAGGTTAGTGTTTTTATTACAAAGTTGATTATTATTTTTACGATAACAGTTGTTTGTTTTCCTTAAAGAAACGAGAAAAAGACGATCCGTAGGGAGTATTAACTTAATTACTTACTTACACCTGTTACCCCTCGTCAAGGAGCATAGGCCGCTCACCAGCATTCTCCATCCAACTCTGTCCTGAGCATTCCTTTCCAGCTCTTTCCAGTTGCTATTCATCCTTTTCATATCTGCTTCTATTTCCCGGCGTAATGTGTTCTTTGGCCTTCCTCTTTTTCGTTTCCCTTCCGGATTCCAAGTTAGGGATTGCCTTGTAATGCACATTAGTGATTTCCTTAATGTATGTCCGATCCACTTCCAATGTCTTTTCCTAATTTCCTCTTCAGCTGGAAGCTGGTTTGTCCTCTCTCCTGAAACGCTGTTGCTGATGGTATCCGGCCAATGGATGTTGAGTATTTTGCGTAGACAACTGTTTATAAATGTACCTTCCTGAGTGTTAACTATCCATGCAATAATTGTATTTCCTAAAATGTATGGTCTTTTCAATACTTTTGGAACTTTATTTTGTACACCGCTCATTTCATAAAATTAGGACATTTAATTATCACGTAACTGGTTATCAGTCTTTTGATAAATCGTTTCTCACTAAAGTATCTAAAAATATTCAGTAAAGATTTTTTACCATTCTCTTCGGAAGTTACTTTTGATAATTTTGTTATTAATACAACTTATTTTGTCAGTAATCACCCTGGTTATTAAAATGTTTCATGTCTATCAAGGAAGACGGTTTTTTTTAATAATTACTCATGTTGATTAGTTTGGCCGGCAAGACTATAATTTGTGGACGAACCAATGAGAATAAGAATAGAAAATCTTGTATTTGGGTGCGAAATTCATTGACCACACAGTTAACATTTTGACATTATAGCTGATATCATTTTGTGATGAAAACCTTTACTTTAACATATAATCTTAAATTCTAATTTTAATCTCTACTCCTAAATCCTTACATTAAGTTACAACACTCCTTTGACAGCGGCAAGTAGGTGAATTGTCTCAAGATCACATTAGCATCGTTCGGAGGTCATCCATAAATTATAGTCCCTCCATTCGGCCTTTTTTTCAGAAATCTCAATATTTGTTTTCTTTTATATTGATAGATCATTGTAGCAAATTAAAATGTACTGGTGAAAATTTTAAAACTAGGAAATTTCGAAAGTAAACAGCTTTCAGTAGATATGGTTCAAAATCAACACAATTCTTCAATTCCTTTCTCTAATTAACTGTAGCTGGCCTCATTATCCTTCTTTAGCGAACCAATGTCATTAACTATAACTATTCGAAAGTTAAATAATGATTTGAAATTCACACTTTCTATACCTAATTGTTGAGATCAAAAGATCTTTGTTTAAGCTTTACTGAAGGATAATTATTGATAGTCTACATCAGTTTTATTCCTTTTTCTCATTATCAGCTTCGTAAGAACAGCCAGTTTAATGATTGTAATCTGGTTGCAACTTCGACTGATAATTCTCTGACGACAACTATCAGTACAGAAAAGAAGTTGAACAAGTCGTCATCCACTTCACCATCACCTTCATCTCCATTATCAACAACAGCGACAACAACTGATTATACTGATGAACAAAACATGTCCAAATCCGAATTAATACGCTTAGTTGCTAAATTGCGTAGTCTTGTTGAAGTGGAACGTAATGCCTTAAAACAAGAACAATCATTATCAGCTGAGTTAAGAACAAAATTAAACGATGCTGACTCACACGATGTTCAGAATTGTAATTATTCAAATAATAATAGTTCAGACGAGAACACGGTAAGCCTCCTGGTTCTATTATTATTATTTTTATTATTATTAAAACATTTTAGTCAAGATGTTATTCACAGATTAGATTTAATTGATCTTGATAATTAAAGGACGTTTCCATCTTCTACTTGTCTATTTCTTTATTTGCGACACAATGTTACAAATGGACAATAAAATAAATGTGCACCACACAAATTAGAAAGTGAGTTTGTGAAGAGAAAGAGGATTAGGATCATCAGAAACAAAATAAGTTAAAATAATTGAACGAGAGACAGGTCATTATAGAAAGTTAAACCAAGAAAGGTTTCTTTCAACTAAACTAGCTCTGAAGAATGTAAAATAAATTACAACCGGACCGCCAATGAGTTACACCATCTATGAGATTCGAACTAGAGTTTCAATAAACCGACAAATTCCTATCCTAAACAGCCTTATTTCATACCACGGTTTAGTGTTATAAACTGACTACTACCTCTGCTTTTAGAAACCAGTTTAAAATCTTCAAATAAAGCACAATGTAGAAGTCTTTATGATGACACATTCTCAAACCACCAAACTAAATGTTTCAAAAAATGACACAAGTGATTTGTCATCGCTCAAATCTCTATCTAGCACTACAATATATATATATATATATATATATATATACTCTTTTTTGTGATTATTTCACTGTTGAGATGTAGGTGGAAGTAACGAGAATACAGTGTTCACCATCTTATTTTGATGGTTTCAAATCTGGTAGTATATAATCGACTGTTAGTGGGAATCCAGTTGATCGTTCCTGCCCCTTCTCTGGCATTTATTTCTATATGAACGCCAACCAAACCGGATAAAGACCCTATAGGGTCTCACGTTGGACGAGTTTTCGAAATGAGCCAATTGGTAACACTTCTGGAGTTTTGAATACGGATCCCTATAATACAGTACACATCGATATCAAGACTTTTCAAAAACATACCCAAACCTATCTGTTGTCCAATCTGCACTAGTGTGTGAACGTTGAAGAAAGCTGGTTTGAATGGCCCATGTAGTTTTGGAAAATATGTATCCAGAATCATATTTATTGTAAGCATTCACGTCTTCGGTCAGGACAAAAGTTCTATAAAAGAGCTGGTGGGTGAATTGAAAATAAATGTAAGCAATGAATCGTAACAAAACAGATGAAGAAAATGAAGCAAAATAAAACAAAACCACGTATCTTCACTCCAGGCTATCTAAGTTCGACAACACTAAGAAGCTAGAACCGCTTAGTCCTAAGATGGGACTCCTCAGGTATCCTCATACACAACTCCTTACGTAGGAATCGAACCCTGAATGCGCCTTTCTTACGTGTCCCATACTAGGAAGAAACAGTCGTTCAACTTTTTAGTGTTGATCTAACTTAGGTAGGCTCATGATTTCAATGAAATTCAACGATCTTCACAGCCTCATACTGAAATTTCATCACAACTTCTTGGTAGAACTTTTGTTACCATTAAACCACCTGAATCATAGTTCGTTTTGTAAGGTTTAAGGTTGTAGCATATTGGTTAAGAATCAAGTGCTTAAACTAATGAACTGCTAATGCCTTAGTTCGGATAACTAGCTCAAATCCGTCATCAATGTCGATCTTGCGAATATCAACGTAACATTACCTGATTTGATAATTATGTAACACCGCAAAGCTACTAATAGTAAATCTATTTGTACTGAGTTCATTAACAGATCACTATACTTTTTTTTTGATCCTCTAATTCTTTGTTCTTGTTCGTCTGTATATTGCCGTATTGTTTTTGTATTTTCTATTTTCCAGTGTTTGATCAATAGTCGTACAGAAACTACAGATAATGCCACAAATCATAATAATACTGGTGATGATCATTATACCAATATGAAAACTAATTCTCTGCATAATCATTCAAAAGATGGTATACTAGAAACTGATGATGTCAAGTCTGAACATCTGAACAATTGCTTTGATGTAAAATCAAAAGTTCCAGATTGTATTCCTCCGCATGAAATATCGTCAAATGACAATGGTTACATTCTTCTATCCAACGGTATACATAAGGAGTTAAATGGCCAACCTAATCATGATCAAATTGATAGTAATAATGTTGATGATAATAATTAATATGAAACTGCAATACAAATGTTCTTTTCTGTCCCTTCATTTTTGAAATTCTCTTTTTGTTGCTTTCTTTATTGTGTTAATTTTACTTACAATCTTCTTTCAACTGATGTTTTGAAAATTTGCAGTCAGGTAGAAAAAAAAAAGCAAACAAATGAGAACCGAAATGAATAATTTTTTATCATTTTATCCATCTTCTCATCTCCTTAATGATTTGTCATATATTTGATAATTTGGGATTTGTTGTAATATTTGTTACTGGGTTTATATTCTATGTCTGTGTGTGTGTGTGGACAGTGTTTGTGAAAAGTGCGTGCAATGCTTTAGGTGCACCTGGTGATTACTGCCACTTGTGAAACTAGTTATATTTATAATTTATTAAAACAATACTTGATATTGAATTGTACTCTTTCTCTTTTTTTTCTTCTGAGTAAAGTGAAATCAAAGAGAACATATCTAGTATTGCATAGGTGAATTTAGTCTACAAAAAAGTTACTTTATACTTTTGGTATATTTTTTCTGTTGCTGTAAATAATTTTGGTTTTTGCAATCTGTTGATATTTTATTGAAGTATGCTCATTCAGAATTCCTTTTGGTTGTTTATATTCATTATATAACCTTTATGCACATGGTAAATTGAAACGTTTAAGTAGTTTTATTTTCGAACAAATTATAAGTCAGTTTCACATACTGATTGAAAATATAATGCATTCTATTAATAATCTCTTCAAAAGTGCCTTGAGTTTTTTTTTTACAAAAAAGTTTAAAAAAAAAGTATCTACTACTTCACACGTTTGTTATATGAGAGATGTAACGGGATGTTTAAAACGACTTTCCTACTGTAATACTACTGGTCCAAAATGCTTATTGTTTTCTACTGTGGTTATTTCTATAGTACTGATGATTAGTTGTAATTCATTAGGTGATCAGACACATTATCCTTGTTGTATTCTTGTTTTTCTTTATTTTTCTTTAAACACACATATTCTCATTCGTTTTTTTTTATAAAAAAAAACACAGTGATTATCTGTTTTCCACTAATGGATACGGAAAGTAATTGGAACCGATTTATCTGAGAACTTCATCACTTTTCTTCCTGTCTTCATTTGTTTTTACATAAAATTACTTGTGGATAGGTTTAGACACGCATCACTTTTTTTCTTCCACTTTGTCTTTTCAAATCGTTACATTCGTTTCCCCGTACATTTTTACATCTAATTGAACATTGATGAATTGTATGTGTTATAACTGAAAAGGTTAATCATAATTCAATTAAAATTTGTGCTATAGTTTAGTAAGGACTGAAAAATTCAAATGTGATGTATGCTTCTCTTTATATTTCTTCAATTTCTTTTTCGTACTATATATTTGTGAAATTATGTAATAAATTTGTTTCTTTTACAGAATAAATAATTTGTTATTTCAAGTCTTTTGATTTTGTTTATTTAGGTAATAGGGGCAAGTAGTAGTTTGATTGAAAGTTAATCGGTCTTTAGTTATATATCTGCTCTGAAATATATTTCCAGTAATTCGTTCATTGTTAGCCTTTAATTTATTTATAAACTGAAAAGTTCTTACCTGTTAGAATAGTTCTGTTAAAGTTACTGTAATTCAGTTTATCCCATCGTAATGAAATCAGGAATATATTGATATTGATTAATCACAATACAAAGCGATAAAATTAAAAAATAACATTTAAGGATTATAAACGAAATGCGGACACCTTTTCCTGTTTAATCATCAATAAGCATATTTAAATTGTAAAGCGGTAGCTTAGTGACTAAGACGTTCTTATTTTAGCTACTATGTCTCAGGTTCGAGTCCTTCACTACGTACTTCGGTTTGGGCAAACGCGTAGTTTGGTTTACATCCAAGTATCAAGTAAATGAGTTAGTTTAAAATGTAATTACATTCATACTCATGTGGTTTATAGTTTTGTTATATTATTGTTCTGTATTTTACAAGTATTCGGATATAGTTGGACTACCCATATACCTTTTGTCTTTCATTGTAGCTAACAGGAGAGGAGTTTGTAACATAAGCAGTGGTAATATATATTTTTAATTTCTAAGATCATAATAAACCCTGAAATGTAAAAGTGAAGTATCAGTTCGTATACTTGGCTTTTAGACCTACTTCCAGTGTGAAAGTCTGGAGTATTACTCGATCATGCGAGCCGCCGATATATATTAAACAACAAATAATGCTTTAGATTAATCATTGAAAGTTTAACAAGCCTATAGTTTGTTTCTTTGAATTACGTCAATCAAGTTCAATCCTATGAATATCAATAATCTAATTAGATTTTGTTATGTGAATTAAAATTACTTTTATACGCAGTTTTATTGTATTATTTCCAAAACTACTTCTCATGATTCTATGTTTTTCTCTTCTTTCTTTCTAACCTAACGACTATGGTTGTTCTAATTAAAACGATAAAGTAAAAAAAATAATTCTTTAGTTTTATATTGACAGTTTCTAACTAGTAGATTGATTTCTCATGATACTTAATAGTTTAGGTAAATTGAAAACAATCACTTATTTTCATGGTCAATTGTAAACTATATTTGATAACTTTATGTATATAGACAAGCAGTATTAATAATGATAATAGTCTTAACAATAATGTAGACTATCATAGAACTATCTTTAAAATGTATCTTAAATATATAACGTTTATAATCAAACTTATAAATTCGAAAGTCATATGATAAGGATTGATCATGATAGTTACCATGCCAAATGATGACCAGTTTTTGAATGTTTATTTTAATGTAAATATAATCTAGTATAGACTTGGAAATTTCAATAAATTAAGTATTTATCAATGGTTATTTATTTAGTTGTTTAGTATTTACAAGGAATTTAATTTATTCACGTTAGTTAGCGTAGTTAAATTTTGGTACTTTTGTTGATGGAATTTATTTACGCCAATGCAATACGTGTCGACATGAGTAGTTTGTTTCACGTTTGTGTAACTTAAGCTCTCTGGTTTGTCGATGCTCATTGGTTCTGTATCCGATCATCGGCTCCTCTTAATGATTACCTACATAAAGTTTCGGAGCTGTTTAATGTACATATAGGATTCAGTAATCTATTGAAGTATAATCAATTAATGTTTTCATTATTAAACCGCTGATCATACTATGTATTATATTTTCGAACACCGGTTGGGCAAAATAGATGGAAAGGTAGTCATTTTGAAGCAGCGCTACATATTGATGGGCAGTTATTAGTTTATCAAAAAGTCTTTTGTACGTGTTTTGATCTAGATGGTTTAACTGTGAAGCTTTCATTATCTTTCTCGACTGTATCATCAGCATATCCTTCGATAAGAAGTGAGTTTAAGAATCTGCCCTCAATTGACTAGGTGATTGTTCTACTGTCCTAGAATTTTGTTTGTTTTAGTCCAACAAGTGTATGGCCGTTGTTTGCATGTTTATTTTGACTGTTTACATATCTCTCCTTGGAGTTGTTTTTCTTTCCCCTCACTGGTTGATAGATTGAGTAGGTTCCAATATTTCTATAGTCTGTTGCATGATTAGTGTCAAACTTCTAAAAATTCTCTGGCACTTTTTGTTTGCTCTATCCATTGTTTCAATATTTTCTCAATCTAAATGACGTCCATAGTTGTCTAAAGGGATTGACATAAGAAAAGTTATCTCGTGACGTTTAACCGCTAGTTGATACTCAGGTAGATGTCGATGGGTCGAGTGGCCGCATTTTTCTATAATAGTGGTTCTCACAGCTGCTGCAAGTGATTTTATGGTTGATATCCGGCTTCTTTCTGTTGGTGGTGGATAATGTTGATTGTCAATTATGGAGAAATCAGAATAACTCACTTCCTACTGAAGTATATTCTGGTGATCTCGAAAAAGATAATGAACGCTTCGCAATTAAACTATTCAGCTCAGATATTTTCAAATTCCTCATCTTAACTTGAAAATATTCTTCATCATTCACTAGTCTTTCTATGGAGTTTTAACGATTGTACAAGGCAACGGCTTGTGATGTAGTCAGATATGTTGTAGATCGAATTGCAGTAATGATTCTAGTGTGGTTATCTATTGTCGTACACAATAAAATTAACTTCACAGTTAAGATGACATTTGTATTCCTTAGATTTTGACTTGAAATATGTTCTTTTTTCTTTAAATATTCCCTCATCTGTTTTGTCATAAAACTGTCATTTAATTTCTGTCGATGATTTATTTCTTTGTATCTTATCGTATTGTAACAAGCATATTGAAATAGGGCTGTTAATCATTTCTCTTTTGACAATTCAATGTTTAGTATGTTTCTCTGTAAATGATTGTCAATTATTTATTTCTTTTAATGAATTATAGTAAAATGCAACTATGTATAGTAACATGAATGAAGAAGAATAACTGGCAGTAATAATTATTAACTGGTCATTTGACTTTTGAAACACTTTCTTTTCGATCAAAATGCTTTATTAAGTAGTCATAATGTCATAAAACAACTTCAAAGCTTAATTCTATAAATAAATAAGCTTGAATCATTAAAAATTATAGCTAAACATAAATTTACTTTTGATAAAAACACTAAATATCTATGTTAATGAATTCAATTGGTATTGTTTGCTTGAGAATCTTCCCATTAATGTTTAAGACTGCAATTGATCAGTCTGTTATTGGCTTATATGTATCCTATATGGATTGTCTTAAGTCACAAGCATTATAAGCAAAGATAGATTATGGTTAACAGTGGAATCCAAGACGCTCAGTTCGTCCTATTAAGGACTCATCAGCTAGATATATCTGCATGTCAGAGTTGATATTCACTCCGAGAGTCGAATAAGTACAAAAAAGATGCTAAACTCCTTCAATTAGTTAAATCTGAATCAATTTTTACAGTTTAATCTATTTTTTTTATTGTATTTAGGATGAATAATAATAGTAGAAAAAAGTTATTTACATTCTATTAGAGTGATCGAAATTTTTTGTTGTTATATCAAATCTAGAAACACATGTTATATATTTTTCACTCTTATCTCTTCTTCTGACACGATGTTTGAAAGATATAGTTTTAATTGTTTAGGTAGCTATTTCAAACAATACAGATCTGTTGTGAGATGGTAGCTCACTGAAGACATTGGTGGATGTGCCGCTCAATTTTGTGGATTGGTTGAAGTTAGACATTAACACCGTTGAATACCGGCCCAGTGGTTTAGTGGTTAAGCTTTCGCACATGAGACTGATGGGTCCTGGGTTCGAATATCGCGAGACGGGATCGTGGATGCGCACTATAGAGGAGTCCCATAATAGAACGAAATCGCCGTCCAGTGCTTCCAGGTTTTCCATGGTGGTCTAGCTTCAATTGATTCATGATCTCAACTATTAAAATCACTATAATATCCACAAAACCCGTTCTGGGAAAGATCATTTTTATATTAATTTTTATAAAATTTTTTATCATGATAAATGTTTCTTACTATGTTGTTTATGAATTCAGTTAGCTATACTATTGATCAAATCTTCTTTTTGTTGAAATGTCAGCTTGTCTAACATTGCTTTTGGTTTATAATCTTCGAAATGTTTTATTGACTAGTCACCATTAGAAATGAAACTATCTTCTTTATTACATTTAAATGAATAAGGTATGCTTCTTTTTCTTCTAAGGAAACGATAAATATTTTCATTCGTTTGCCAAACATGTTACTACATGTCATAAACCATTAGCCAGTGTTAAGTTAAATTATTATTAAAAGCATATTTAACTTCAAGAATAATTTATATAAATAGAAGATTACATGTAACATCATCTGCTGATAATTTATTCCTTTTTAGGTCTTTTTATTTTAAAACAATTGATCTGCCTTTAACATTATCATAATACAAAGTGAATATTATCAGAAGAATTAAGAAACTACATTTAAATGTATATATCATATAATAGTCAATCAGTCACAACGTAGAACTTCGTACGTACGTACATCAGTTCGAGTTGCCATACCACATTAGCACAGAGATGCAGTTGTCGATTCAAATCCCATAGTGGTAGAAGTAGTAAGACTATAAGCATTATGTGAAAGATTAGGGTTTGAATATGTTATTGAAGGAGTATAATCCAACGAAATAAATTTGAGAAAAGAGAAAACCGATAGAGACATGAAGAATTCAGAAGATTAGAATTTGACAGAACACAAAGAGTGAATGTACCTTCTCCATTGTAAACGATTTTGAGTCATGTCATTCAAGGTCTCTAACCATAGGTTGCTATCATCTCGCGGATCCCAACCAGGTAGTCTACACCTACCAACATGGCCCAGTCCACTTGTCAGTGACTTCATGGATTTGTGGCACGTTTTGGTCTGGCCACCCCTAGCTTTCTTCTAACCTACTCCTACACCATAAAGCATTGCACGTCGGGGCAGTCGGTGGTTGGGCATATGTAACACATGTC